TACTTGTTAATAAAGATTGGGAGAGCAGCAGCTTGCGCTGAATAAGATGCCAGATGTTCTGGAGGAAGCAATGTTTTCTTTGTATGTGGGCAATATATGTGTGTGTGTATGTGTGTGTGTGTGTAGGTCTAGATGTGTTCGGGTATTAAGAGTATTTTGGTGACGTTTCAGCAAGGTCCCACTCACCATCCTCAGGCTGGTGCTTTCGGCTTCGTGCCAGTGCAAGCAGTGTGTGATCGGAGTTGCTGTCTCTCTATAAATACTGGTGGTGGGAGCTGGTGTGCTGGGCTGGTTGGCTGTGCTTCTGCCTCTTGATTGGTTGATGGAGTTGATCACAGCACAAGACCAAGGATACCACAGCAATAAGTCTCACAAGGTCATCACACAACCCATTACCCAAGCCATTACTACACAGGAGGCTAATGAAAAAGAGATCAAAACACAAACGACCCAGGAGATTACAACGCAGGAACCAAGATACCACAACAAAAGAACTCACAAGCCCATCACACAACCCATTACCCAAGCCATTAAACACGAGAAACTAATGGAAAAAAGATCACTACAAAACAGATGACCCAGGAGATTACAGCACAAGATCCAGAATATCTCCACAACAACATTCACAAGGCCATCACACAGCCCATTATACCAACATCAACTCCATCAACCAATCAAGAGGCAGCAGCACAGCCAACCAGCCCCCTGTAGCAACGTTTCAGCAGAATCTCATCTGCCATCATCAGGCTTCTGTATTGTGTTCGTCTGTGAGTCAGACTTTCACAGCTGTTTCAGTTTTAAATTTGGGGCTAGCCTACTGCTGTGCCAGAATGTTTTTTTCTTCATCCTGATTGGTTGGGAGTCTTGGTCTGTGTTTATTGGTCTTGGAATTTGCTGTGTTCTGCTTGATTGGTGTTTCTAATATCTTGTCTGTTTTGTGGCTTTTTTTGTCTTGATTGGCTGGCAACATTGTGTTCCTGTATTGGAGGCTTTTAGTGGGGCTTGGCTCCGAATAAATGGACAGCTATCATTTATTAGGAAGCTAGGTTTCATCTGGGTGCCTAGTTGGGGTGTGTTTGAGCTGGAGGTATCAGGGGGGATCTGTTTGTGCCCAGGTTTTGCCTGGCTTGTGGTGTGGATATTTGTTTGTTTGTGAGTGCAGGCTTCCAAATAATTGACAGTCTGGTGGAATCATCTCTTCTATTCATGCTTTCAGGTCTTTTTTCAATCTCTATGGCTTCTCTGATAATTCTGTGGTTGGAGTTTTCTATAGTGGCTAGGGTTTTGGTGCCATTGAAGTCGATGCTATGACCTGTTGCTTTCATGTGTTGGACTAGTGAGGAAGTGTGTTCCAGCTTTTTTACTGCATTTTGTGTTCATCCAGGCAGGTACTTATTCTTCTATTGGTCTGTCCAAGGTATGTGTCAGGGCATGATGGACAGGGGGCTTCGTATATGCCTTGGTTTTCCAGGTCAATTTTATCTTTGGGGTTTCTTAAGATGGCTGCTATTTTTCTGTCTGTTTTGAAGGCAGTCTTGATGGTGATGCCTGTGTAGTATCTTACTGATTTTGTCTGTAGTACCTCTTATGTAGGGCAGGACAGCTGTTCCATAGGTCTGTTCATCTTCTAGGTCTCCATTATGTCTCAGTGTGGTTTTTTTCCCCCCCTCAGTGTGTTTTTGTGGAACAAGCCGGTGATTTTGCTTTTCTGGAAGCCGTTGGCTGTCAGTACTTTAGTCAGGGTGCATAGTTCAGTCTTTATGTGTGTCTTTTCTGCCAGGCGTTTGGTTCTGGCAATTAGTGTTTTGGCCACGGAGTTTATCTGTGCTGGGTGGTGGCGGGATTGGGCGTTGAGGTAGCGGTTGGTGTGTGTTTTCTTCTGGTATATGGTGTGTCCTGGTGTGCCATCTGTTTTTTTGTAGATTAGTACATCTAGGAATGATAGTTGTTTGTTTGTTTTTGTTTCCATGGTGAACTTGATTTTGGGGTGTGTGCTGTTTAGGTGTGTTAGGAAATTGTTTAGGTTTTCTTTTCCATGGGGCCAAATCACAAATGTGTCATCGATGTATCTTAACCATAGTTTGGGTTTGTGGGTGGCATTAGCTAGGGCTCTGGATTCGAATTCTTCCATGAACAGGTTTGCAATGACGGGTGACAGTGGTGATCCCATAGGGGCTCCTTCAATTTGCTTGTATCTTTGTCCTTTGTATATGAAATATGTGTTGGTTAAGCAGTGTTCTGCTAGTTCCATGAGGTGTTTTGCTAGTTGGTATTTATTTTTGATGATTTCAAGAGTTTCTTTTATCAGGACTTGAGTGAATAGTGAAACCATGTCAAAACTTACAAGCAGATGATTCCACCAGACTGCTGATTATTTGGAAGCCTGCACTCACAAACAAAAAAATCTCCACACCACAAGCCAGGCAAACACCTGGGCACAAACAGATTCCCCCCTGATACCTCCAGCTCAAACACACCCCAACCAGGCACCCAGATGAAACCTAGCTTCCTAATAAATGATAGCTGTCCATTTACTCGGAGCCAAGCCCCACTAAAAGCCTCCAATACAGGAACACAATGTTGCCAGCCAATCAAGACAAAAAAAGCCACAAAACAGACAGAAGATATTAGAAACACCAATCAAGCAGAACACACCAACTCCAAGTCCAATAAACACAGACCAAGACTCCCAACCAATCAGGATGAAGAAAAAAACATTCTGGCACAGCAGTAGGCTAGCCCCAAATTTAAAACTGAAATGGCTGTGAAAGTCTGACTCACAGACGAACACAATACAGAAGCCTGATGATGGCAGATGAGATTCTGCTGAAACGTTGCTACAACTTTAAAAACACAACTACCATACATGTAAGTACCCGTGAAAACTTAAGAAAACAAATATATATGTATGCATGTATGCATGTATGTATGTATGTATGTATGTATGGCATTCAGCTTTGTTCGGGTATTTTCCCACGTCATTAAAGTTGTGCTTTCTTGTCACGAATATATTAGACCAAAGAAAACCTGACATTCTTTAGGCCCCACAAAACAGAGCAAAAAAATAAAATCAAATGAAGTCTGACTCACAGATGAACACTATACAGAAGCCTGATGACGGCAGATGAGATTCTGCCAAAACGTTGCTACAACTGTAAAAGCACAACTACAATGACGTGAGAAAATACCCGAACAAAGCTGAATGCCATACACGTAAGTACCCGTGAAAACGTAAGAAAAAATATATATATATATATTGACGTGGGGTGGAGAAGAAGAATCTGGTAATAGTTTGATTGCTTAGGAGACCTGGAAATAAATTACAGGTTCTTCCTCCTTTACGTGAAGATTGACCAACTGATAGAAAAGCTAGAATTCTAACTGGGAGGTGGCATTCTACTTTCATATGGCTTGAATTTATGGACGAATAAGCTGGAGCTGCAATAGAATGTGGCTTTCTAGAATAATGTAATGATTGTTCACCCCCCTCCCCCCAAGAGTCACTGGCTTGAGATGGGTGGCTATGCTTATTGATTGATTGAAAAAAATAATAAATAAATACATTCCTGACTGCGGTCAACCAGCTAAGACTTCTTTCAAGATGAGCCATTCCATTCTTCCTTTCTTCTGCCAGTCATCCATTACTCCTATCCACTGAGCGTATTCAGTCCCCATGAAGATATGTGGGAATGGAGGTCCAGGATTTTTCTGTTGCTATTGGACACGGAGGGCTTCCACAAATGTCAGAATCCTCTCCACCTTTTTCAAATGTCTCTTCTGGTCATGGGTGGTGTTACTTTGGCTGCATATGTATCTACGCTCCTCAGTAATTATCAGAACTGTAGATGATTTTTTTTCTCTTACATTGCCTGTCTTAAAATAGAAGAGCACTTTTCTTTTCTTGAGAAAGGAATCCATAAAAATAAGATTGACATGAACATGCATATTTTGATCAGAAGAACCTTTAGTACCAGCCTATGTCTTGAAGGTATGCACTCTAAGCTCTTTAGCTGTTTTTGTATTTTTGTTCCAAATTTCATGGGCTGTAAACTCTTTGTGTTTCCTGGATCTGGGGCCTGCTGTCATTGCCATGAACATTTCTTCCAAGAGTCCTAGTTGCTGATCATCTAATTAGTTGCAATACAGGCAAGCAGATTTTTTTATAGTCCAGAGCCAGTATAAGTATCCTGTGACTCTCCTACGCTTCAAGAGTATGGAGCATGACAAGGTGATACCCAAATTCTCTGAGAAGATATGCATATTGATTACAGTCACAGTGGAAATCATGTGATGATAGCAACAGGGAATGAGCTATGGTCAGGAAACAAAGACAAAAGTCAACCTTCCCCCTAAAAGAGAGTTACAGTGTCTTCCTGCCAAAATAACTTTTCTGAGAAAGCAGCTTACTTTCTTTGTTTCAATAAGAGGAGGGATATATTCTGGTGTCATGCCCATGGCAACTGTGACCTACGTTCCAATCCCATCACTTGACCTGAGGCCAATGTCTCCCAGTGTGTTTGGCTACCATGCATATTGCTTTTAACTTGTTTGGCCTAATGGTGGTTGTTGTCCAACGTATTTGTGGGTGAGTGATCAGGGAAGGGTGAAGTGGACAGCATCTACTTACAGCTGTGTATGCGTGTGTTGTTTTCTGCACGACACAAAGCAGTGTCTATTTACCTGTCCATTTTTCTGGATAGTCTTCCATGCATTTAAGCTTGGCTGGAGAAAAGAAACATTGAGATAGTTTATCACTGAATCTTGGCATTTAGGCCAAAGACTTTTTCCAGGCAAAGCCATTGTTTAAAGATTCATAGTGTTGCTTGTTTTGTGAAGACATGATGTTTCTTTGGCTGTGGTGGGGACTACGTTTGTAGTGATCTTTGTTTGGTGTTTGCGTCATCCCTGCATTCCACTTTGTTTTGTTGTCCTTGTCAATACAGACCACTTGTGTCCTGAAACAGTTCTGGCTAAAACTATGCCTTGCTTTCTCTTTGCAGGAATCCTTTTGCCAATGTCCAGCTCAAACCAACGGTGACAAATGATCGTTCAGCTCCTCTCATCAGCTGATCCAGAAATGTTGGGTTACGGCGGGTACCTTGCACCTTTTGATTTCCCTTTCACCTGTGTTGTATTTCTGTGAGGTCCTTGTACAGTTTACATGTCTTTCCCTCCAACTCTGTTTTGGTAGTTAAAATAAGCATTTAAGTGGCAATGCTGGTGTGCTTTTCCTTTTGCTCATTAGAAATAGAAGAGAAACTTGACCCTTAAAGAGCGATGGGTTTTGAAAGGGATGCTACGCTGCTATATTGAGGGGAGACCTAGATAGACCAGGAAGCAGGCCCTGCCTTCTTTGCCTTTTGCAGCTATATATGCCACGTTCATAAACGTTTTAAGAATAGCCATGGAGATAGAAGGACCTGGCAGTTTTGCAGTGGTCCTGTGTTTGCCAGATAACATTTCTCCTGGAAATCTTTTTTCGCCTTTTATCAAAACCTATGGATTTGAACAGGACTTCAGAGCTGTCGAGAGAAGCTTTGGGGCTGCCTAAGATGAAACGCACGACCTGGGTCCTGCTCACTCAACCCTTGGAACTGACACGGACTTGAATCTTCCAAAGCTCTTCTTGGTGGCTCCCTCCTTACCTTGCGTTGGACTTTTGCTGGATGAAAGTAAAAGTTTTACTGAATCGATGTTCAGAAGAGCTGGGCTCCTCAAAGCAATTGTCTCGATTTGACCCTTCGTTATTAATGGTCCTTTCTCTCCTAAGGGCCCTACATCTATTCAGCTTGTCTGTGACGATCCTTTAGCGGTAAGGCCCACTGATGGCCAAATTATTGTGGGTACCTTTTCCAGCATTTTAAGGTGGTTGGGGAATGTTACGCAGGAAAGAAATATTTTCAACTAGCACCATCTGTTGCTCGAGCATTTGTTTCATTTCTCTGTAGCTTTAAATAGACCAAGGAGGGACCGTTAAAAATCTGGTTTAGTCCTACAGTGCCCAAACTCCCCTTGCTCTGTCTTCTTACTGACACATCTTGACTGGTGCAGGTGTGTCTTCCGCTGCCAAAGCAAGTTAGTTTAAGACAGCTTGACCTCTGCCTTGGTATTGGGTCAATGCTGTTTGAAAGGTCCTTTGTTCTGTTACTAAGCTTTTTTTTTTTAATTTTTAATTTTTCTTTTTAAGTTGCACTTGCCTTCTCAAGTAGATATTCAGTCACAAATAAGCTTTTTTCTTATGTTCTGTCCTATTGGCTCTCAAAGTCTGGTAAGATGTAACAAAGACCATTCAGCTTGCTCCTTGTATTTATGTAACCCAAGATTAGTGAGTAGTTCTAGGAAACAGTAGTTATCAAAATGGAACTGGACTTACCCACTATTTGGAGTGCTCTTACTGTTTGAATTCCAGTTATAGCGCCAGAGTCTGGTGATAATGGAAACCCAATTCCTAAAATACATTTTACTTCAAATATGGAGTGATAGAGGCAAATTAGCAGTCAATTTTTAAGAGCTGTGTGTCTGTTTCTATGCCATTTAACCATTCTTTCTTATTGAAATCCTAATGAATTATGATAGATCCAAACTTCTACCTTATTCTACATAATAGTAGCCCCCAGCTGACTGTACAAAATCTATATCGAGCTGCTGCTTTTTCTTCCCAGAAAGGAATGATGATGATAATGATATTTTTTCCTCTAAAAGTGGCAAAGCTTTTGGTGTGAACTTTGGCCAAATATTAAATAGCCTCCCTCATTTGATCCTTTGTGCAACCTGAAGTCATTTGCAGCTGCTTTGCTTTTTCCAGTGACTCTTAAAAAGCAGTCACAGCTGCCTTAAATATAAATTTACCAATTTTATCATTTAAATCATTCAGGTTCAAATGTGATCATAGTTTCTGTGGTCTCTGTTCTCAGTTTCTGAAAAACATCAAGATTGATTTCTGTGATACACTTAGCCCAGAATTGTATTGTCTGGCTTAATGTGTTGATTGAACTTAATCATTGTGGTTTATTCAATAAATCAAAGTTAAACTGTGGCTTAGCATGCCATGTAGATCCTGTTTAGGTCTCCCATGCAAACGTGGAGACTGTTAGTGAGCATTTCCATCATGACTTGTACATTTCCCTGTGGCTTATGATGCACAAATATAAATATCTTAAAATCTATATTTTTATATAAAGCAATTTAGCTAAAAACCAGTTACAGAAAATCTCTTAACTCTGATAAGGCCACAGTAAGTTCAGATAAGGCTACAATCCTAAGGAAAATTATGTAAAAGATGAAACTCACTGGCCTTGTTTTTTATCACATGTGCTACAATTGCTTTTTTATTATTGCATCTTTCTTCTATTACAGTGCTTTCTTGAAAATCATTTTTCCAGTTGTTGAATCATTTATTTTATGGTCTTTGTCCACATAAGTATAATGAAGATTCCCAGCCACACTGTACTGTTTTGAAAAATTGCTGTGTTTGTGTGTGTGTTGTGTATGCATTTTTTAAAAAGTCAAACTTTGCCAAATTATTCTTTTTAAAGAGGAAGGTTGATTTTTAGTTCCTTTCTTTGCTCCTCTCTCAGACCAGTTCTTTTCTTACATATTTTCAGCAGTGCACCCTCTGCTGTGGAATTATTTAGTTCTCGCCATCTCAAGGATGGCAAGTTGAGATCCACACATCTTAAAAGTTATTAAGGCTGAGAAACTTTGATTTAGATGATTCAAGGCAAATAGGAACTGTAGCTTGCCCAATGGAGCTGAGGGGTGGCAGGGCTGTCAGCTCCTAGACTGAATGAGAGACAAAAGATACAAAGATTCCCAACCAAACATTGGCTCTTGCAAGATGGGCTACCCAGTAGAATCAGAAAGTAGAACGCGCTAGCTGAGGCTCAGATTACCTCAGGGGTTTTTTTTTAGGTGCCCAGTGCCATACGAAAATGGGAAGGTTTGTGGGAACATCTTATGTAGGAGATGCCAGAAAATGGAACCTAATATTGCTTTTCTTCTTTCATTCAAAGGTAGGATAAAACTTGCAATAGCAAATGAGGGAGAGGGTTTTTCAAGGGAAGATCGACCATAGTCACTTTTAAAATTCATTGGTTTTTGATATCCTTTCCCCACCCTAATTGAACTGTTTAAATAATTTCTCCCAAACAGGCCCAGGAACGTGAAATAAATGACTGATTGACTAAATGGGAAATTGTTACTGTACTATATGTTGGCACAGCAATTACATAGCTGAGGATGAATCTGAGCAATTCAACTGAATTGTGGCTGAGAGTTTTGGAAATTGTAATCCCAGTCCATGAGGGGAGCAGTAGATTGGGAAAGCTGGTTTAGGTAGTGTTACTTGATCAGCTTATGCTCTTCAAGGGTGTCTTTTGTTAGGATGTGAAGATTAAGAGGTTTCTCCTAGGCAGTGATGGTTTTATGGTGTTTGTGCTGCCGATACTTCATTTCTCGGTTAACTAACTTTCTCCCAGATGAACAATGTTATATGACCCTCTTGCCTTCATGTTGATTGTGTGAAATTAAGGTTAGAAACAATCCACGCCTAACTCTTAATTTCTAATGCAATGTGATAAGGATATGGTGTACACCTTCCAGTTAAAATCGGAATTGGAGCTGGGTGGCTTATCAAATAAAGAAATAAAAAAAATCAAGTGGAGCAAGTTGGTATATGTGATGGATCTCGGGAATAAGCAACATAATTATAGACACACGATGTTCCATGATGTGGGAATTTATCCTGTGACTTTCCAGTATTTTTGCTACAAGAAAAGCAGCAGCAGACTAGCCAAAGTCTTGTGGTATCAGAGTACCCAGTCTGAGCCTGATTGGAAACCACGGTGACTAGCCATTGGGAGGCTGGCTCTTAGTAACAATGAAAGAATTACACACAATTAGGAATATTACCTTCTGAATGTTACCTTCTCCCTTTGTTGCCCTGCTAAATGTTTAGCATGCATGCTAAGGATAACCACAATAGTGGTGGGATATTCTAAGAACTGATGCTGAGGACCCTAGTATTAAAAGTGCAAGGGCTCTTGGAACAGCTGCCAAGGGGGGCAACACACTGGCCCAGGAATAGTTGTGATCACCTTTTCAAAGCCAAATCGCCACATAGCTCTAATAGCTTATTCCTTTTGTGGATAGGGGTGCTTACTGTGCTGTGGCTTCCTGCGGTGAAATTGGCCTTCCAAAATACGAAACACTGAACCTCTGATCAGTTAGTTACCTATACACTGGTATTGAAATCAGAAAATGATTGAACATTTTAATAAGAGTTGGCTCTCAACATCAAAAGAAATTATGGTAAGAAACTAGATAAATGAAGGTGGTTTTTTCCTAGTCTGACGCATCAAGGGGAGTATTAAAAGAGCTTCCATAACAAGCTTCAAATAATACTAGAGCCCAAGTCTCAGTGCCCGATTTACATAGTTGTAGGAAGGAATAATAATTTATTATTTCTTAGTTGGAAGTGATAAAAGTTTCAAATAATAAATGCTGCCCCCATCTTTTAAAAAATCCCTGTATAATTCCCATCCAGTGGCTGTAATCCATGCTTTATTCCTACCCAGTTAAGAAATAGAGCTAGCCTTGGATTACCAAGTTCAACCAGTTTTGGTCCTAGCTTTTAAACCTACTAAATATTTCTTGAGGACATGCCTCTGTGAATTCTTGAAAATAGCTAGTTTTTCCCCACTCGACATTCTCACCTCTTAGGACATTGGCATCAACTGGAGAAGGAAAGTAACTTGTTTCTAATCCCGTCACTCTTGGGCACAAAGGGAATAAGCTATTAGAGCTATGTGGCAATTTGGCTTTGAAAAAGTGATCACAACTATTCCTGGGCCAGTGTGTTGCCCCCCTTGGCAGCTGTTTCAAGAAGTTTTCACAGCGGTAAATTGACCCCTGCTTTGCAATACAAGCATAGCAATGCAAGTGCCAATTTTCCTGTATTTTTCTATTTTTTTCCCACCTGGCAGCTACCTGACGCCTTAGTCAAGAAAGGGTCAGTCATTTTATCTGCAAACCATTACTGCACTGCATGGTTTGATGTATTCATGGTTTGTCTCTCAAGACTTCTGGCTGAATCTGTACCATCCATAATTTTCATTATTTCCTGCTGTCTTCAAAACACACAGATGGAGGAGAACAAGCAAAAGTTAGGTTATTTTAAAAATGTTTTATTTTTAATAGTTATTGGACCAATGATATTTGACACACATGCTGGGAGCTGTATGGAACTCAGCACTGATAAAAAATACAGCAATTATGACCCGTATCAATAAAATACACTGTAAATAGCCCACCCCTCTCTATCTCTCTCTCTTTCAAAGAAGATCATTAACCCAAAACATAACTCTAGTTCTGATCTCATGCAGTCTCTCAGGGGCTGACAGCTGTCTGTTACTATAGACCATATACCTATAGGGGCAGCGTTGTCAAAGGTAACTAGATAAGGAAATGAAGGAAATGAAACTTAGAGAGCAAATTGGGCTGTAACTACTTCCTGTACCTGTTCTTTTGCCATGGTACTGGTTGTTTTTGCCTTAGAAAATGGAATATGGCAGTGGCAAGCTAGAATCACACTGTGTAGCTGACAGATTTGCATTTCATTTGATGTGGAAGAATGAGTATACACACACACACACAACACACACGCACACACACAAAACACACAGACCCCCTCCAGGTGCATGGGTGCAGCACTCAACTTTCCAAAGCCAGCACCATCATTCCTGCATGTACCAATGTGGACCAATGCCGCCTGATAGTTGCTGAAAATCCAGGCAGGTGCAGGACAACAGAATATTTTGGGAGGATGTGAAACCCGATGAGATTAAGAGGTGCTAAGAATCTGGAAATACTCAACAGTAACCTGCCTTTTCTTAGTAAAATTCTCCTTTTGCTTTGCCTGAAATGTCTACTACAGGAAGGAACAGAGCTACCCATTGCTTCTCAAATTCTTCTCAATTCTCATTCCCAAATATCTCCCCATGGTAAAATAAGGAATAACAGTGCTCCTGCCATTAAATTTGTTATTTCCCCAAGAGGCTTCTCTTCATAAATAAAAAAGAATCTTGGAGGATAGTTTCTTTTAATTTTTTCCAATGAATGTTGGATTTGGATTAAACATGCCCAAGAGGTAAAACGACCATACAGCTCTGCAGCCAACATTATTTGATTTTATAATCACTTTTCCAAACTTCTGCTTTATGGTTAATAATGCAATAATGGAAGCATCCTTCAAGGAGGTTTTTTTTTTAAAGAACCTTGCCTGCTTGGTCTCTAGGCACTTACACACACCTGTTTAGAAGAGTCTCTTGTAGTAAAAGTCTAATTTGTGGCAAGTTAAGATATGTTGCAAAAAGGGAGGGAGGATTGTCTCTTTGGGCTTTGAAGGTTTAAGATCTACTAAGCCACATTTGCTTATTACTCTTTTCTTAAATGCATCTTATGCTCTAGTCTCTTGTTCACCACAGTAGCAGAATACAGAATAGAAAATAAGAGCTGGAAGGGACCCTGGAGATCTTCTAGTCCAACCCCCTACTCAAGCAAGAAACCCTATGCCATTCCAGACAAATGGCTGCCCAGTCTCTGCTTAAAAACCTTCCCTTACGGAGCACCCAGAACTTCTGGAAGTAAGCCATTCCACAGGTTAATTGTTCTCAGACCACAGGGTGCTTTGCACTCTGTGAATCCTGCAACGTGCATACCTATACTTTGCAAAATTCACTTCCTATGTATTATAGGAAGTAAGATTGGCATATGGGCTTCATATTTTTTTCCAAGCCCCACCACACATGTACGAACCACTGCCTGACCATAGTTTTTTAGTCAAGAAAGATCCCTATTGTCCAAATCACAGCCCCCTGCCATACATTCTCCCTCTCTTGAGTTCAGAAATGGATGTTAAAACTCTAGGTCAGATTTCTCCTCCTGCCTCTCCTGGTCTTTGGCGTTGGCTCTTTCAGATACTAGAACACTTCAAAAACAGAATCCCAGTCCTCCTTCCTCTCCCTCACACTCATGAATTGGGAGGAGATTCCCTTGTTATCCGCATTATTCTGAAGCTGAGGTGCACAGCTTTTTTCAGAAGCTCCAGGCATTGTGTGGCATGCTGAGAGCTATTTTCTAAAAGTGAGTGGGACTAGGAACCAAAGTGGGTCCAGGTTGGGAGGTTGGATCCATTTCAGTGGTGGTATGCTACCGGTTCTCACCGGTTCACCTGAACCAGTAGTTTAAAAAAAAAAAGCCTCTGAGGATTAGCTGAGAGGAAGGAAAAAAGCCTCAGGTGATTAGACGAGAAAGCAGAGAAAAGGGCAGGATCGGCCTTCCTACCTGCCCCTGCACTTTTCTCTTCTTTATCCTCTCAGCTGATTGGCACTGCAGGTCTCAGCTGGTGTGTGGAAAGCTGCGGGCATGCAATCAACAAACCAGTGGTGGAACAGGTAGGATCCCACTGCTGATCCATTTGTTCTGATGGAGCTTAGAAGGCTCCCAAGCAAGAGATGGGGTGGGGTGGTCTGAAGCTTGCAGGATGCACTTTTTCATATTTATTTTAAGGAGAGTGGGTGTGTGTATTTACCTAGCAAATACTATAGCATGACCAGATCATTCTGGGTCATTCCAGTAGAGATAATGGATATTTGGTCATGAGCATCCTAACCCGCTTACCCTCCCAAGCTATCTTGGCTGTTACGTAGTACAGCCTTGTTTGCCATCCACAAATTATTCCAGTTCAGCATTAATTAATGGTGCTGCAGAGGGAAAAACCAAGGCTAAGAAATAATAGGCCGAGTATGCCAAAAGGGGAAACAACAAATCACAGAACAATGAGGATTAATGAGTCTTTTGCATTCCTCAGAGTATCGGAGAAGCCGAAACTGTACATGCCCCGTAAATATCTGCTTGATTTGAATATAATACAAACTGATTGTAAAGGTGTGTTAATTGGCATGTTCAGAACATGCCCATTATTTCAAGGCAGAAATAGCCACTGGAAATCTTAACAAAGTTGATACTGCTCTGTCTTCAGTTTTATCAGGTATTGCAGAAGTATATTTAGGCTTATCCTTGCACCTACAAGATAGCTTTGACATCCCCAAATGCAGTTGGAATGACAGTATCTGTTAAGCCCTAGGATTCCCTCACCTCTGGGGGTGGGGGCAGAGGCCTTTTTCACCAGTTACATCAGCCCAGATGGATATCAGTTACATTCCCCAAACACAGAATAGAGTTCTCCATTTGGCAATAACATTCTACTGGTTTGCCAGGTGTGTAAGATGAACTGATGGGAAGTATGCAGAATTATGAGAACAATGCTCCCAAATGCACAGAGTACCCTCAGACTGGAGGCTTCAGGTGCTGATCAATTGTTGCTACGTGCAAAAATACCTTAGGTAAGACCTTTTTTTTTAGATGCTCAGCTCAATGGATGGAAAGCTACACGTTGTAGTCCAGTGTTTCTCAACCGTAGCTCCTTTAAAACGTGTGGACTTCAACTCCCCCAAATCCCCAACCAGCAACACTAGCTGGGCATTTCTGGGAGTTGAAGTTCACACATTTTATAATTGTGCTAAGGTTGGGAAACACTACTGTGTAAATAAAGGGCTAGGCCTATGTTTTGACCATAGACACAATCTGAAGGAGAGTTTTATCTGGATTTGAATTCAGGTAGAGCTCTCAACTTGATCCATTTCAAACAGAAGATCAGCTTTAAAAAAAAAACTAGTTTGCAATTTCTGATGCAGTCAGTAAAATGCCTGAAGGGAGAAAAAGTAAACCACCCTTTGACTGGTATCCTACTTAATCAGCCTATGCACATTCTACAATATTTCACATACACAAGGAAGGACATAGACAGAAAGCTATATGGATAGGAGAACAAAAATGCAGCCTCCCCCTTTAGTCTTTTTAAAAGTTGGGGGTAAAGTGCTTTTTATTTCAAGTTATTGCTAAAATGTTTATTCGTTTTCAGGGAAAGTGCATTTTAGTGCAATTTTTCATCTACCCATCTATGAGAGTGAATAGCATGGTGCCTAACAGATTAGTGCAGCAGAGAGCACATGTCAAAGCCATTAAAAAGTTGAAGTTCACTTACACTTGTGATGTTTATAAAATTCAAACAGCAATGGAAGAAACGGGAAAAAAAAAAGCCGAGGTGAGTGGGCTGTGACAGCATCATAGAGATGCTCTGTATAAAATGAGCAAGCAAAGATTCCTCCCATGGGTGGCTCCAGCCTTTATGCCCCTGCCTATTAAGTCCTCAACTCTTCTTATTCCAGGTTCTAAAAACAGATCTGAGAATGCAAAGAAAGGAAGAAATCAATTATAACAATATCTCCCTTTTTTACTTGTGGGAGCTTGGGAAAGGGACTTCATCCCATTGGAAAATGCAGCTGGCTGCATTTTTAACAAGTTGCAGTTCTATAGAGGGCAATATAAAAGCTGCTCAGATAAGGATGATAATAGTGATCTTTTAGATGCAGTTTGGGATTTATTACAAGCCTGGTATTCCAAAACACCTGTGGATTCTTCTAAACTAGCTTGGGGAAGGAAATAGAACTCTAGGTATATTGCAGAAAATCAAGAATTTCATTCCTTATTTAATCTTTGTCTAGTTAGGAATTTCAATGGCTACATTATTTCTGACGAAGATATTTACCTCCACCACCACCCCATAAAAGTGGTTGTTAGTGAGCTATATGTTTGAAGAATTACGTTGGGCTCCAATACATTTTTATTCATTAGTCAATTTCATTATCAAGGGGCCAAGAACCTGTCTGTTCCTCATCCAGCCTGTCCTAAATAATCCAAGCTCCAGTCTTCGAATGCTCAAGAGAATTATGTAACCACCATGTTGGTTTGCAGAGGATGGAGAGTGGATGGGACATGTAGACCACCAGATTCCCTTTCCGGACGATGCTGATGTGCTTGGCACCCAATGAGGGGGGAAAGGGAGAATTCCACTAAAGCTGGCATACATTGGTTATGGCATACATCCCAACTGCTCTCAAATTGATTTGTGACAGTGAAATATTTTGAAAGTGCATTCAGCCATAGAGGCCAATAAATGACGCCTTCTCTAGAAAACATCTATAGTTTGCACACATTCCATTGGACAGAAGGATTTACTTGGATTGAAATTTTGGAAGGTGCACAGTTCATCGTATCTCTCTTTTGATGTTAATGGGCAAAATGCAGACAGCAAAGTATACAAAGGTTTCCTTCAGCTCTCCTTGACTTCTGGGTTCAATAGCTGCTGGTGTAGGTTCTCATGGCTCCAGTGTTGCCTCCTTCTCAAGTTGGCAGGAAAATTAAACCACAACAACAAAAAGAGGGTGGGTGGGAACAAGAAACAGGAATCCTGTCTCTAAATCCAGCTCCATACTGGAGCCTGGCACTCGTTTTCTCAAGGTCTCCTCTGGTTCAGGAGCTCTCCAAAAAAAGCAAATAAGAGTGCCCTAAACCAGGGCTCTCCAACCTTGGCAACTTGTAGCGTTGTGGATTTGAGCTCCCAGAATTCCCAATTCTGGGAGTTGAAGTCCACAAGTCTTCCAATTGCCAAGGTTGGAGACCCCTGCCCTAAACCAACAAGCAGGCTGTTGTGTTCTGATCGTGCTAGGGAAGTATATGGTAGTCCAAGGAAGGACAAGTATTATTCATTTGGGTTCATCAACCAGCATCAGGTGAAATGAGACATGGGCATCTGTGTTGCTCATGGTGGGCTTCAGTAGGAGTGGAGTAAAAGGCATATAAGTCTCCACCACCCAAGAAGGCTATGAACAGATCCTGGTAACCTTTCACACCCAATATCTCTTTGAACAAAGAAAGCAGAACTCCCAGAAGGGTCTTAGCAAGAAATGTCAGACATAGAAAGAATTCTGACTCTGGAGGAAGAGAACATAACCGGCTAAAAGTATGCAGCACTCTAAAGATGTCTTGCTCCACCTAATCTATACTTAGAATGCACCTTTTGAAACACTTCTCCAGCTGGCTGGAACTGATGTGAGTAGCAGGAGAAAGTAAGCCAAAAAATAAAATCTGGCTGTCACTATCACCTAAACGCTGCCTAATGGAGGGATGATGAATCATTGCCTCATGCACGGCTATGGCTGTGTATACTATGAAAATGAAAGCTGTGCTCATGAACCAGAACCGGGCATCAGTACCAGTGCCAAGCTTGCCACCTTTAGTCACGACATACTCCAAACTGGAAGCACAATGAAGCACAACGCACAGACATTCTGCCGCTCTGTAGGGTCTCTTTCTAGGTGTTTCCCCTGATTCTGTGAGGAAATGGCCCAGTAGCTACCAGCTGCCTTTTGCTCTTGTCTGTTTACCACCCAATTTCCAACATCAGTGACTGGTCTATAGTCCCCACAAGCCACAACTCCTAAGTGCAAGATGCCTCTGACTCATTTCCATTTTACCCCACCGTCCACATTGCACAATTATCCTAAATCTTGAACTAATCAAAATCTAACAAACAAAATCATCCCAAAGCTATTATTTTCCTTCTTCCCCCAGCTGTCCCCCCACCCTCACCCAAGATGCCTTGATAAAAGTTAACTCTTTACATCTCTTTGGCAACAATAACTTAAATCTGCCACTCTATTAGGGCAGGTGGGTAAACTTTGTACAAAAATAGTCTCAGTGGCAGTTTGATCTGCTTTTGCTATGCGTCTGGCTGGGCATTTCTTCCTACAGCTGAAGGGTGACGAAGTTTATAAAAAAAAAACCCCATCCCTAAGACTTGGTATTCCTCTCACATTCCCAGCAAGTCACATCGTGGCTCTCTAGGAGGCACTCCCCAAATAATGCTGTAGTAGAGAACGGATGGTAGGTCTCAGCACCACATTTATCAAAACATTGAAATAAGTTTGGTGTTTTTTAGTTGCTGTACTCCCCATTTCACCTCCTGGGATTCAGGCTGCTCGCTCAAGGCTAAGGAGGAGAAATGGGAAGTGCTGAAGGCCATCCAGACACCCCTTCCAGGCTGCTCATATTGATCCTGCCCATGACAGAAGGCAAAGTCTTCTGTAGGACTGAATACCTGGGACCAGACCGTGATTCTCAAAAGGAGGCGGGTGGGGACAATTTTGAGTTCCGCAACCATGATGCAGCTGAGCGACAGCAACCCAGGGTCAGTGAAGAACATAAGCAAAAGGGGGGGAAATGGCTGCCGAGACCAGGAGTCTTCGCTGCTCAAGACTTTAAATGTGACCTTCACTTCAGCTGGCTCCCCTACCTGTTTTCAGGTGTTTGGCCTACACTTGTCTCTGGCTCTTCTGGTAATTGATTGCGTCCTCTGGACCGTCAACTCCACCTGATATTTGGACACAGCACACTGAAGGAAGGACAAGGAGAGCTTGCCCCCTGTGGCAAGACACAAGTACCATTGCTTGAGGATCCACCTGAAGCATGTTGGAATGGCACAAGGCGCAAGGCTACGTGCTCTCTCTCTCTCAAAATCCCCTATGGGGTGTGGAAAGAAGACACGATAAGCTCACAGAACAGGCAGAGGGAGGATGTCTCAGGGCAGTGCCCCAACTGGGGAAGCCAGTGTGGGTCAGAACATCAAGAGGCATGAGCTAGGAATATTACAATGGCTTATGTGGCGATGTTAGCAAGGTCACAGATCTACCCTTTAAATGCTATAGGTTCTATATGTCTATATGTGTCTATTTGTACACAAACGCTTTCCTGGGTGTGTGCGCACGCATGCACACACACACACACGCGCGCACACACACGCACACTCTCTCTCATGTTTGCACAACCATCGCAAACCACCTCATGGTAAGGTGGCTCCAGCCCAGCGGCAGTCAAAATCTGTCCAATAATATCTGGATGAGGCCCTGCAGAGTTCTGCTCCAGCCAGCTCCTGGGCCTCATCCATGCTCATGTCCCCTGGTGCAGAAACTGTGCCGTGGGGGCAAAGTAGGAAGTCCAAAAGGGAGAGATAGCCAAGTTCACTCTCTGTTGCCATTTTCACTGTTGCCTAGAAAAGGGAAGAAGCTGTTAGAAACTGGAACCACAGAACTAGAGGCCTTGGGGGCCCTTTTCTTAGCTTTTCCAACACATCTGGTCTCCTCCAGTTGCCTCAGGACTGTCACAGACTGTTTGAATTCAGTTCATGACATAAGGACTGTAAAACGTATGTGTCTGTAAAAGGGATTCACAACTTCCACAGGCAAGTCGTCTACCTTCCAGGGGTTTGTGCCAGCCTGGTTTCTATATAAATGAGAAATATTAGATTTTTTAAAATTCAATTTGTATCCTGCCTTTATTTTACAGGTTACTCAAGGCAGTTAACATACAGTACCTAATACTCTTTTCCCCTTCTATTTCCTACAACAAGCACTCTGTGAGGTGGGTTGGGCTGAGAAAGAGGGACTGGCCCAAAGTCACTCAGCTAGCTTTCGTGTTTAAGCTGGGACTAGAACTCACTTTCCTGATTTCTAAGCCAGCACTTTAATCACGACACCAAATTAGTGGAAAGAAAAACATTGGAAGTATGGAAAAAGGATCCTAAACCTCCTACCGTCATACGAATGAATGGCTCTGGATTACAAAAAGGCAAACCTCCATACTCCCGCTAAAAAGACCATCATAAATCAAGTTCCCTTGAGTCAAGCTTGAAGCTGGTTTAACTCCTGGTGATTGTGTGGTTATATTTACATTGTTTTCTCAGCAGTGCTGTGGAAGAAGTTTGCCACTGCTGTCTTCTACATTGCTGTTTCTTTTCTTTAATGCCAAAATATTGCAATCGTCTCTTAAAATTTGGGGGAAAACTGAAATAATTTCATATTAATGGGGTCTCAGTAAAATAAATTGTTAAAGTGTGATTCAACCAACAATTAGAAGAGGCCCCTGCCTGGGGCAGGATTCAATGCAATGGATAAAAGTAACCAGTTCAGAACAGTCCTTCATGCCCTATCCAGAATTTCAATATTATTTTTAATCTCCTGGCTTTAATCGTGAAACCTCTCCATGAGATCATATGAACTCAACAACGCTTACCCCAAGAACAGAAAACTTGTGGATATCTTGGGGGCTTACCATTCCTTATGAAGGTCACTCTCTTTTGCAGTTTTTGAAATGTCAGAACAGACCTTACCTCCTACAGGCTCAACATTTGAATCAGTGACGTGTGTGATGGAGAACCGTGATACTGCAGCAGGTGAGACTGTGAAGCGTGAAAACTGGATGGGCAGCACTTGCTTCTGAGCAGCTACTAGCGTGGGGGACAGTCTGGGGAGACTGTCCTCAGGTGCCTCTGAGGTCAATGCGGGCAGGACAGGTGATTTCACAGGTATGAGGGAAAAGTCATCATCCCATCCAAAGCCACCACCTGAAATGGAAAGGATAGGTATAAGAAAGACGAAGAGGCTGACATGAAAGCTGACATCCCTTCACCCATTCTCTACAAAAAGTTTCCCAAAATCCAACAGGATTTCCTGTATCAGACTGTGATGTGACACCTTCCAGGTATGATGGAGTTTGGCCAGGCTCCCTAGACGTTTAAACACAACATATTTGGAGGGCTTGAGGCTGAAGAAGAAATAATTGCTATGCAAAATATAGATAACCCTTGACTTAACAATCGTTCATTTAGTGACCAAAGTTACAATGGCACTGAAAAAAATGACTTATGACCGTTTTTCACACTTATGACCTCTGCAGCATCCCCAAGGTCGTGTGTTAAAAACTCAGGTGCTTGGCGACTGGTTCATATTTATAACGGTTGCAGGGTCCTGGAGTCATCTGATCACCTTTTGTAACCCTTCTGACAAGGAAAGTCAATGGGGAAGTCAAGATTCATGTAACAACTCTGTTACTAAGTTAAAAACTGCACTGATTCACTTAACAATTGCGGCAAAAAAGGTAGTAAATGGTTGTAAGGCAAAACTCAACAACTGTCCTGATTAGCAATGGAAATTTTGGGCTCAATTGTGATCATAAGGCTTACCTGTACATTATATTGTGGTCATAAGGTTTACCTGTACATTGAGGTTTACCTGTACATTACTACAACGTCATTCTTTATGATCTTATGATGGCCATCACAAACTATTCAGCAAGCTGCTTTTAGCAACCAAATTACAAGCTGGAAATTCCTACTCATAAACTAGTTTGTAATAAGGGAAAACTAAAAACTCTTCTTGTTCCCAAGTCAAATGTGGACTCTGAAATATAGCAGCCATTGAAAAAGACCAGGTATATCACTGACCAGCAGTCACTATGCTGGCCTGCAAAACTTTTATGAGTCCAGATTCCTTCTGATGTTTTTTTCCAAGACTGATGGAATTTTTGGAAGTGGGACAAATTTTCTGACTCTGCTGGATTCCGCTGAGAAAATGCACATATGGAAAAAGGAGCAACAAACTCCCAAGTACAGCACATGCAGACAGTCCTTGACTTACGACCGTAATGGAGACTAGTAGTAAGTCGTGATAGTTGTAAAATAGGTAGGTCATGTGACTGACTCCATTTTATGACCCTTTTTTGCAGCTCATAAGTGGCCTCCCTGGTCATTAAGCAAACACTGCTGTTGTTAAGGAAACCAATACCTTGCTATGGTATGATTTTGTCCAAACTAGAAGTGATAGATTTTGGCAAAATCATCATAAAATGCAATCACAGGTCTGTAAGTGCTGCAAATGGCCGTAAATGTGGCCATGTTGCTAAAGTGCTCAAAGTTTAGTCATGTGACCACAGCAGAGGTGACCCTCAGCACTTTGAATCCATGTTGTAAGGGTAGGTCTATTGCAACTTTGGTTATAGGCCAAGGACTACCTGTGTTCAGTTTCGATGTGAAACACATTTTAGTTTAGTCAAAATAGGTACATGCATTCTGAAAATGCGAACAGGTCAAATTCAGTCGTAATCTTAACCATCTATGGAAGATAAAGTAACTAATCTTGCTAAGGAAAAAGGCAAAATGAGCTGGATTCAAGAGACGTAGTCATGAAGCTATAATACGATCTCATAGGCCTCAATTCCTCATTTGATCCGTACTTTTATTCTCTTCAGAGGAGCTCCCTTCTGAGGTGCTGTTGGGTGCCTTTATCTCATCTGCTAAGCCTGGAGGACCTTTGCTCTCCACCTGCCCAGGTGGCGTTGGTGAAGCTTCTGTCACTCCTGGGAAAGGCTGCTCTGCAAGCTCCTTTGTGGGACTTTCCTGCATGTAAAACATTAAATGGATACAATTAATTCACAACCCGAGGGAGGAAAAATTGTACTCTGCTATTATTATCCAAGGCACCCTATGAAAAACCAAAGGTTACTTATTTAGTACCTTCAACATCCAAGAAGCTGCAACCATAACAACCTCCTCCCTCTTTCATGGCTCATTTCTATGTGAAATGTGAGGTCTAACTTTAAGGTTTAGCTGGGACATGTAGTTTGTTTTAGTGTTAGTCTGGTCTAGAACTACTTAATCCAGGTTGCAAAATTCCAGACAGCCACTGACAGCCAAGCGTTAGGGAGTTTTCTGTATCTCTACTATATGCTGCTATCTTTTACTCAGATTAACTGGGCTTCATCTGAGTACTAGATAGCAGTATATTGAAAAGATACAGAAAACTCCAGTTCTGCTATCCCTATTTATAGTCACCCCCCTTCTACTCTCCCAATCTTTGCTCATCCAGGAAGGTCTTAATCATGTTTGCATGGGTGATGAGATTTGTATTCCAATTCATCCTGAGGGCAGGAGGTTAGAGGAGACTGGTTGGTATTATTATGGCTAAGATTACAGAGTATTATAATCAGAAGCCAGTAAGCAATTGATTGAAGTAGGTAGAATAATCAGATCAGCACTGCAAAGATCCAGTTGACCACAAAGAAATTTAGAAAGATCTGGATTTTGCAGTCCAGATGTGGTAGCTATTACATATAAAGAACCTGGTGTCTTTTACGTACTTTGGATACCCATTAACTCTCCCCAGCTTTGCAATGGCAAAAAAACTTTTTATTTAAAACTTCTAGGACACGGGTGTCAAACTCAAAGCCCAGGGGCTTGATCAAGCCCGCAGGGTGCTTAGGTCAGGTCCACAGGCCTGCCCTGGAAACAGCGATGCACTGGCCCATGGTGCCTCTGCCAGCAAAAACAGAACTTGGGAGGGCCACACGCGGCCCCCGACCCCAGGCTCTGTTTTTGACCACAACAGCCTCCTGCAGTCCTCTGCCAACAAAAACGAAGCCAACAAAAATATGGCCTCCCAAGCTGCATGTGAGGCCTTCCCGAGCTCCATTTTTCGCTGGCAGAGGGAGGCCCTGATGAGAGATATCAAGCTGGCCATGTCCCCCGGCCATGCCCCCCTGCCCTCCAATGTCAAACATAACTCTGACACAGCCCTTAATGAAATCGAGTTTGACACCCCTGCTCTAGGAGGAATCAGGTTGCATATTTCGGCCTTGTGGTATGATGATATTTAACACAGGATGCATGCTGTTCCCTGAGTCCCTTTCTAAATTACTTTATGTTGTCTCTTCAACCCCTCCCCAACAAGTTACCTGGTCAAAGAGGTAGACAGTAACATCTTCAGTGAAGGAAACAGCTTTCTTCTTGCGCTCCAGGTCATCACAAAAGGTCTCCACCACTAGGCTGGGCATCTTAAGCAGACTGCGCAGGTTACGGGCACTGTGGCTCTCAGCCACTACAATGGGCACAGCAGGCGATTCCTCCTCACTTTCCTCACTCTGGTCCTGAATGTTGTAGCACCGCAGCTCCTCATCTGACTCATCACTGTCCTCAGTGTCATCTTCTTCCTCTTCAAGATCAGCAGGGCTACATAAGAGCTGGGATGGCACTACTGACAGTTTGAGTGAGAGACCAGGGTTGCTCTGAAGTCCTTTGGGATGGCCAATTGCCTGTCTTTCCTCAGGTTGCTCAGCGTTCTTTGCCACATTTTCCTGTCCTGTATCCTTTACCTCATTTTCTTCACCACCTATGGTGGGTTCCTCTAGATTGGTGACCACAGGAGACAAGACGAAAGATCTGGTGAGGGGGGCTGGTGTCTGGGATTGCACAACGATCCCATTGTTCTTATCCTGAAATAAGTTTGAATCCAATTTATCAAGAGCTGCTTCATTCATCAACAGTTCCTGTGACGGGTTAATATCTCTGTCTTTCCCCGTGTCCTGGTCCTCTGCACCTGGAGAGAGGCAACCCACACAGTCTTCATGTGGACAAATGGGCTCAGGACCAGCTGGCAGAGGTTCACCTGTCCTGCCAATTGGTTCAGAGTTTCCCTTCAGTTCTTCGGTGTGTGACTGGGAGACTCCCAGTTCATGTTCCTCAGAAGCATCACTGTCCTCTTCGCCATCCTCCCGAGTGCCACCTTCAGTATCATAGTCAGAGAAATACGCGGAGTCACGGTAAGGATTCTTCTCATTCAAGGCCTGTAGCTCAGCAGTAAAAGAATCAGAAAGACTCTGCTCTTTGACTTGATCGTCCTTATCATCTTCAGATGTTCCCAGCTTCTCAGAACCTTCAGATTCCCGTGACTCGTGAGGTTCCCTGAGGACAAATTCAGGCGACTCGTAGTTCTCTGTATCATAGCCACTATCCAGAGCCTTAGGCTGGCTCGAGGATATATAAGCTATGGGACTGAACGTGTCACAGGAGCTGGTGGTAGAGGGGATATCCAATGAATCTAGTGAATCTGGGGTCTCTACTTGTTTCTGTAAGGTTTTGAAAGCAGGGATTACATCTTGCTGCTCAAGACAGTCAATTGGGAAGTCAATAAAAACTCCAGATGTAAGATCAGTGGAGTCCTCATCACTGGCCTCGTCCAAGTCAGGGAAACTGGTACTGGAAACAGTCTTGTCTGGTGTTCTATCTTGTTCGCTTCTGGTGTCCTTGCCACTTTCTATATTGATCTCCTGTGGCAACTTAGGTGAGCATCCAGTGGAGGTCTCTTCCATAGGGTCTTCTTCTATGTTTGACACCTCAGCTATTGATTCATCCAGCAAAGTTGGATCTATAGCCTCCATGCTGCTGGCAGCTTCTTCCTTGGAAGGTAACAGCGATGGTGCTGATGACAGACCCATCAAAACGTCTTCCCCTGATGGTAGAGGGATGGCTTGTGGGCTCTCCACTCTGCTGTCTATCAAGGGATCTATAGAGCTTTCCATGTCAGGCAATGTAGCACTTTCAACGGAAACGTTTTCCTCTGCAGGCAAATCGCTATCTGGACATGGGGAGCCTATGTGAGATGATGATGTCATGTGTTCCCCACCTAGCAGAGCTGTTCGCAGATCTTTGATCCCTAATGTTGGCTCATCCCGTGGCACTGTGTCCAGTGGCTGTGCCATTAGCCCCTGGAAGGTGATCATATGCCGGTAGCACCAGCTATCTTTGGCAAGGGGTTCACACGATGGCAGTAGGTGATCGTTACCATTTTGGGCTGAAGTATTGGATGTCCAAGGCTTGCCTGAAGAGGGGGATTCGGAGCTTTCATTTCTTTCGCTCCTAGGACTACCACTCAAGCGCTCCTCCTCTGCCACTTCCAGAATGACTGAGTCGGATGGAGCCTCCTTGCAGGTGTAATTCTCTGATGGTGACACACCAAGTGGATCAGCAAAAATGCTTTTCTGCAAAACTAGACCAGGCCACTCAGAAGCACTGGGATCCTTGAGCAGGTATTCCTCAGCACTGTCCTTCAGGGAGTCCTCATAGTATGGGGCCTCTTTACTGTCTTGTTCTCCATAGGAGTAATAATCAGAGGGTTCCCAGTGGCTTTCAGGGTGTGCTGATTGGCCCAGGAGGGGTTCCATGGTGAGGGAGATGGTGGGACTATTGTTGGATTCATAGTGGTCCTCCTTGGTTTGCCAGCGTGAAGAATGGCTAAACTCAGGGCTGTAGGAACACACGGTGTAATCAAGGTCATTCCCACTGCCTTCAGATGCCACCTCTTCAATGCGAATATAGTACTCACTGTTCAGAGAGGGGCTATGGGCACTCAGCACGGGGACCACCCCTGGTGTGTGCAAACCAGGGCACCCCTGCATTTTACATTCATAGCAAGAGGGGGACACCCCCAGGCTGAGGTGCCCACCTCCACTGCTGCTGCTCGCCGAATAGTAGAGCTCATGGTAGCGTGCAGCCCCACCAGGGCTCATGGCAGAGGCTGGGAGATGTTCAGCTTTCCCTTGGTCCCATTTGTATTCAAAGTTGAGGCCATGGCTTGTCTCCATCACAGTGAGAACATCGTCACCGTCGTTGGAGAAGTGCTCCAGAAGAGGGAAGGAGGAAAGCTCCAAGCCCATGTGGTTAGAGCCAGAGCCTGCACCGCCAGTGCCTCCGGGTTTCATGGAATTCCAGCGCTTCTCGAAGTCCTCCTCTGCTTCGGAAGCCCCCTTGGCGCAGAGGTAAGAGAGCAAAAGGTGTACCTCCTCTGCGGTGGGGCGCTGCTCTGGCTGAAGCCAGCAAAACTGCATAACCTCATACCTGTGAATAGCGAGAAAAGAGCAGTGGTGAGGCAGAGGTCCTTGGCTGTCAGGAAAGTGACTATTCCGCGCCCCGCAAAGAGCTCATCCTCCCCCCCCAATTGCATAATTCATTCCATAATATATCTGTTTGTATGAGGTTAGTCCTCTCTTCTCAACACTATTATTCCGTCCTCAAAAATACACTTTAAGACCAATAATGAATGCTTCACAGAAAAGAGAAAGAAGAATGACCTGGGTAAGGAAGAAAAAAAAGGTCAGAGAAAACAGCATCTGAAGAAAACAAGGCTTTTTTCTGATAGGATTTGCTTCCCAGCTCCAATCAACATCCTGGCCATCCACACTGCCAAAATCTTTATCAAAGCTTAAGATGGTGATGCAGATGTGGCCTAGACGAAATATTATTCTGGGCCAGATACCATGCTTCTATGGAAGCAGCTTGGGACTATATCTCAGCCTTTTTAGCAGTTGTGCTACCCTGCTGGCTCCTATTCAAGACATCCTTCTCCTTCTCCTCATATGCACTTCTGTACTCCTTAGGCAGGCAAAGGTAGTGCTCAATTTACAGCTGTAACAGAGCCCAAGATTATGATCGTCATTAAGGGGATCGCCACATGACTGCCAACAATATTACAACCAATTTTGCTGTGATTTTGTAGTGAGAACAATTGGAACAGCTTTGCCTTCTTCAGAAGTAGTGAGTGCTCCATCACTGGAGGCTTTTAAGAAGAGACTGGACAGCCACTTGTCTGGAATGGTAGAGGGTTTCCTGCTTAAGCAGGGGTTGGACTAGAAGACCTTCAAGGTCCCTTCCAATTCTGTTATTCTGATTTTTAAGCAAACGCTGCAGTCATTAAGCGAACACCATGACCATAAACTGAGCCTGTTTTCCCCAATGGGCTTTTTTTTTGGGGGGGGGGGGCAAACCCTGGAAGTAAACTCTGGAAACCAGCCCCAAACACACACACAAAAATCACAGTCACATGATCATGGGATGCTGCAAGCAGACATAAATGCGAGCAGGGCGTCAAGCACCCAAAAATGCAATCACGTGATCGTAGGTGTCGGAACTTCAAAAGCGGGTTGTATGTAGTTCTGAGTCAGTCCATTGTAATTTCAGTCACTAAGTGATCAGTTGTTAAACAAGGACTACCTTTATCTGTCCATCCAGCTTTCGTTCATTCAATTGCACAAGATTTAACACGTTAACTATCAAACATGACACTTGCTTATTCAAATATGATGAATACCGACATGTTCAAGTAGGTTGAACACCTACTCAAGAAGAAGTTCTCCTTCCCTCCACCAGCTTTGTTTGAAGGGGTGCAGCATGCCCCCCCCCACTGTTTTGGCTTTCCTGAGTTTCCAGGGAGGCTTGAGAAGCCCAAAATGGGGTGCAGGGGGATGTGCCCCCCCTGAGCAGGGGTGGGATTCTACCAGTTCGCACCTATTCGCTAGAACCGGTTGTTAACATTCTAAGCAGTTCGGAGAACCCGTTGTTAGAAGAAATTACTGGCCTAATCCTGTAAGGAAGGCAGGAGGGAAACATTCTGGTGTTGCTTACAGAAACTGCCTCCCCGTTAACCCTTATTACATTCTTGGCAGGACTAGACTTCCTGTCTCAGGAACATCTCTGGAGTTTTTTTCCCCTCCTTCGCTGGTACTTTGCTTGTGTGGAGTGACCATTCAAAGTTACAATGGCACTGAAAAAAGTGACTTATGACCATTTTTCACACTTACGACTGTTGCAGCATCCCCACAGTCATGAGAGGCCAGGCAAGGAGATGCGTGCTTCGATATGAGTGATATTGAGTTGGCCACGCCCAGCCAATCACATGACCACCAAGCCACGCCCACCACCTAAGCCACAGAACCGGTTGTTAAAAATGTGAATCCCACCCCTGACCCTGATCCCTGTTTTTGCTCCCAGGAGGCTGCAGAGAGGCTTACTAGGCCCAAAACAGGGCAGGGGGCGGGAGGCGGCAAAAGAAAGAAAAAAGACAAAGTAAGAGGGAGGGTTGGGAGAAAGAAAGAGAAAGAAAGAAAATGGAAGGGGAAGGAGGACGGGAGAAAGTGTATTCCAATCACCCTTTTCTCTTCCTTATCCTCCTTAAAAAAACTCTTGTCCCCACCTGGTTACTCACCAGCGATCAGATAGCGAGAGTGGAAGCTGTGGTTTGGAAAGTTTAAGCTGCTGCTCTTTGATAGCGTAAGTGAGGACTTGCCGATCGGAATAATGACAGTAGGGCTGGCCACCCAGCTCAAACAGCTCCCAGATAGTCACACCCAAAGACCTGCCAAGAGAGGGGAAATGGGGGGAGAAACACTCTAGTCAGAATGCAAGATTGATACCTAAGATCACATTCTTTGATGCCAGAACAGTCTCTCTCTCTTAGTTACTGAAATATTCAGGGGCTTCCAGATGAAAAGCCAGCCTACCGTGCACATGGACAGAAGTTGTAGGAGCAAATGAAAAGGGTGCATGTCAAGGGTTGTGGGGGGGAGCTGGATTTTCCAGAAAATTCTGTGACAAAGGCAAGACAATTGCCTTAAAGGAACTTTTACCTAGAAGCATCCTTTGTAATTCACCATCAAGAGGGGGAAAAAATCCAGACATGGAGAACAGAAACGAGACCAATTTATAAGAAAAATTCCAGTAACACTGTGAAGCAGAGTCACTCCAGTGATACATATGAACACCCTGCCCGCTCCGTAGCCCTATCAATAACTTCTAGCTACAATAACCAAGACCCTAAGTCTTGCAAAAACTGTTAGGCTAATTCCATACTTCAAAGACTGTCATTTAAAACACTGTCCTATTTTCTTAATGAGCAAGAAGATGCATTGGGGAAGGGGAAGGGGAGACCCTCTTTTATATAATTCAGACCTAAATGATAAAAACAAGCACCAGAATTTGGTATTTGGCACAGAAATAAACAATAAGTAAAGTTTAAATATAATTAACATTAGGTGCTTCACTAAGGTTACGTTTACTACAACAGTTGCATCTTCAACACTATTAATTATTATTTACTTAATTTGTATCCCACTTTTGTTATTTTTACAAATAACTCATCAGGCAAACATATCCAACACACCTTATTCCTCCTATTTTCCTCACAACAACCACGACGTGAGGTGGGTTGGGCTGAGAGAGAGTGAGTAGCCCAAAGTCATCCAACTAGCTTTCATGGCCAAAGTGGGACTAGAACTCACAGCCTTCCTCTTTCTAGCCTGATACCTTAACCACTAGACTAACCTGGCTATCTAACCCTCTTTATCTAAAAGCTTTGGAGCCAGTATTCTCTTCCCAGGCCAAGTGGATTTCATACACCAACCCAGATTTTTCTCACCAGATGTTGCTAGTCTTAGTCTGGTCTACGATCAGCAGGTTGCCATGGACTTCGTCAATCAATTCAGGAGCTACCCAGCGTAGTGGAACCCATAGTTGGTCGGCGGTCACAAAGTAGTCATCCTGACAGGCATGCAGGGCCAAAGGGAGAGCACATCAATCAAACCAGCAACAACAGCACCTGTCTCCACATTCCCGGTCCTAAGTCAGAGCTGCCAAATCCCTTTTGCCCGAGAAAAAATATAGTTGGCACTACTGAACATCTCCACCAATTGCTTCTGGCCCTTTCACCTCTCCAACCCAGTCATTTGGCTTAGTCGTTTATTAATTTTTATTTTATTTGAAATACTTCAGGTCTGCCTTGTAGAGGACAGATCTTCCCAAAGCATCTTGTGGAATAATAAACAAACAATATATGTACTAAATATGTATTAAAGTAATGAGGGTAAAGCAAATGTCCCTTTATTAAAGTAATGAGGGTAAAGCAAATGTTTGCTTTTGACCCCCTCAAAACTCCCCTAAAAACACCACTTAAGGAAAGATCGTAGAAAACAGGTAAGTTTTTCAGATGGTAGTTATGGGGGTTCCTGAACTTTGTTTTTCAGGATCATTCAAGAGATATGTATCTATACGTTCAGAAAGGTCTTTTCTCTTGCAGCTCCTCTTGGTCCTGAGAATCAGGCCAGTAAGGAAAGCCTTCTTTGCAGTCTTAAAGTATGAGCAAGCAGGTGCAGGTGCTTCATTAAGTTAGAGGGCTTAGACTTTAAGGGTTTTTTTTTTAATATTACAAAGAGCACATTAAATGTAGCTTGGAAATGCACTGGCAGATTCACCTCATTTCCAACAATGCTGGCCCAGCCATCTTCTGCATCGGCTTAAATTTTTGAGCCACCTTTAAAAGCAGCCACATATAAAATATGTATGTATGAATGAGAAAAATCCATTCACAATGTATATGTGCATAAGATCCCATGCGTGAATGCGCATTAGCTTCTGATATACCTTGATGTATCGTCTCCTGTATTTGTCTCTTACCCATTTTCCCCTCCTTCCCAGGATCCTCTCTCAACCATCTCTGAAAGAGAGCTGCTTTCATTGCCAGCCTTTCAAGTCCTCTCCAAATCCTGCCAACAGCAAGTGCTCTCACTCCCTGTCCTTGTAGTCCCCCACAACCCCTTCCAGCTCCCTGCCCCCAAACACACTTACTTTGTATTTGCAGTGAGAAAGGCCATAGTCGCCAATTTTGACAGTAAGGTCAGCTGTGAGTAAGCAGTTCCGCAAGGCCAAGTCACTAGACAAAAGAAATATCCAACAAGAGTTTGTCCATGAGGCATCAGAGGATCATTATGATGCAGATTAGATTAGCAGCAGAACTCCTAAACTAGGGAGTGGCAACTGTTGTGTAGGGCAGAATTGCTACTCAGCCTTTATTACTTAGCTTATCATAGGCAACAAGGAATATCTCTGATTAGCCCTGGAAATATGTCAAGAAAGGAATCCTCAGAAAGAAGCAGAGTTGGAAAGCCAAGCCACCATACAACAATATACCAACTGGGATAAATTCTGCTTGCTCTCAGCCTCACAGCTTGATTTTCTGGCAAGATCATCCTACCATAAAACCCTGCCTTTAAGGGTACACCCTTTTGATTGGCAGATGGAAGCCAGTTTTCAAGGCCAGACCGGAGCATGGACTAAGCAACTTTAAGAATGTCACAGAAAGCAGATAGCAATAATAATGACAGGAACCCACTTCCTGCTGTACTAATGAGTCTGCGCTCTGCAAGATTTAACAAAAGCTACGCCACGTGAAATCTCTGTTCCTCATTCCGGTTGTTTTAAAAGAAAACTGCTGCACGTTTATCCACAAACCTCTGAATACAGGTAGTCCTCAACTTACAATCACAATTGAGCCCAAAATTTATGTCACTAAATGAGACATTTGCTAAGTGAGTTTTGCTGATCTTTTCCCACAGTTGTTAACGTGAATCTGGTTTCCCCATTGATTCTGCTTGTCAGAAAGTTGCAAAACGGGAATCCTATGTCCCTGGGACACTGCAACCGTCATAAATATGAGTCAGTTGCCAGGCATCTAAATTTTGATCATGTGACTATGGGAATACAATGGTTGGAAGTGTGAAAAACAGTCACAAGTCCCTTTTTTCAAGGCTGTGTTATAATTTCGAATGTCCCTAAATGAACTGTTGTAAGTCGAGGACTACCTGTTCTGTTCCTTAACAGGGGTTGAGGATTCTCAGAGCAGAGATGCTCCCCTGAGTAATCACACTGACTCTAATGTTTGTGAACTGAATCACAAAAAGCAGCTGCCCACCTTGATTCTGCTTGGACCCGTACTCTGTCCTCTATCTTAGCTATCTCCCTCCAGAGAAAATGTCTCCGTGAAAAAATGTGGTAAATATCCATGTCACAGGGGGCTTTTTTGGGGGGAAAAAAACCCAAAAACCAAAGGTAATTTCAGCCTTTCCTTCCCACTGCTGGCACATAATTTTCTATCCGTGATCATGATGGTAGTTATAAGCTATTCTTCCAACTGCATGAAAGCGTGCTAAGGTACGTGGTATTGATCACATTTACTCAACGTCTTTTTTTTTTTTTTGCCTCTTTTGCGATTTCAGAAGAACAGCTGAGCCCAACAAGCACTATCAAATAGATGCCTTTTTTTATTATTATTTTAGGAGAGACTTTAGTACAGCACAAACGGGCCCATTTCTCTTCCTTTGCAAGGCTATGTGACATTTTAAACATTACTCAATCAAATGTTTATGTCAGCTCTGAAAGAGAATGCCCCTTTTTATAGCTACGCTAAATAGGAAGAGAGAAAGGAGAGGGAAGGGTGCGGGGAGGCAGAGAAAGAAGAGAATAAAAGAAGCATGTCGAAGCAGAAAAAAAATGGCTTATCTTCTGGCCTAGGCACTGCTAGTCCCTCCCAGCTCAGTAACCAGAGACATCTACGGCATCCCTGTCTTCTGTCCATAAAAGATCTTCCAGGAGATGGCAAAGCACCCCCCCTTCAACAAAATCACTGATGCTGGAGTCTTTGAGTGCCACTCACTCAGCACCAGGATATTGTTGACGGGGAGGAACGGGTGATAAGAAGAGAGCAGGAACAGAAGAAGTTTATCCAGGCTTGTCTGGTTTCTTGCTGGAAGCCAAATGCTGCAACCCGTGTCCCCAGGCAAGACCACAGGAATGGGGGGCGGGGGGGGGATGCGGACTGGTTGGAAAGTCAATGTTACAGAGAGCATACCCTGTGTATCCCCGCCTAAACAAATTCAAACTTCAGTTACCACAATACATCAAGGCTCAAATTCTCCTTTGGGCCATTACTCCCTCCCCCAAGAACCTTATTCCTAGCCCCTTGCCGGTTCTTTTTAAGGCAAAGGCTGCATTTGAAATAATCAACACGTTCAGGAAAAAAGTAGGCGGAACCATAAAGAAAAAGAGAGTAAGGACAGAATAAAAAAGATAAGGAACACCTTAATATTTAATACATATGATAAATGAGTAAGTGAAAGAAAAAACTCTGGGACTGACTGTAGCCAGCCAGATAATTGTATAAAATAAAATAAAATAAAATCCAGAAGAGGGCATGAAAGCCTTAGCAGCAGAACAGAATACCGTACTCTCATATATACTTTTATTATCGTTGTCAAATTTTAAAAGGCCCCAATGGGCCATTGTTGGTGCCAAAATTCTGCAATTTTTAAACAGACACATTTATGAAGGCATGAAGAAATGCATTTGAAAGCATGAGAACGGTGTAATTAGAACACATTTCTGAAGAGTAACTTTATATAAATGTAATACTTTCCTCGATATCTTATGCTTGTCGGCTTCTGTTTTCTAACCCCAATCATTTTAGAGAGCCTGCTTTCCAAATTTCAGCAGGAGATAGGGTGGGGCATGAAATGCCAACCATGAATTGCCAACTCATGCTTTTGAAAATTTGTTTTCAGAAAAAGACATGCCCTTGGATTATCACCACTGCCACTCCTAGTCAGGGGTGGGATTCAAATTTCTTAACAACTGATTCTGTGGGTGTGGCCTAATTTGTGGGTGTGGCTTGGTGGTCATGTGATTGGGTGGGCGTGTCTTGCTGCCTGGTAATGGCTTGGTGGTCATGTGATTGGGTGGGCATGGCTTGTATGTAAATATTACAAATATTTATGTAACTATTGATTTTTTTTATAAAAAACAGCAACTTTTACCCAAAAGCAGGCAAAGCAGGCAGGCAGATTTAGTTGCTCACAGAATCACAGATTCACTTAAAGATCTATCTATCTGCAATCGGCAACCTGAATTTATCACATAAAGTTTGCTTGCAATCAAACTCATAAAATTAACTCACAACACACCATGTATGTAAATATTGATTTTTTTATAAAAATAAAAACTTTTACCCAAAAACAGGCAAAGCAGGCAGGCAGATTGAGTTGCTCACAGAATCACAGATTAACTTAGAGATCTATCTATCTGCAATTGGCTCCCTGAGTCTGCATTGAAAAGCTTCAGTCCTAAGGAAGGTTCAACTCTGCTTTTAGATTAGCTAGAAAGCAAGAAATCCAAGGATTTCCTGCTTTCTAGCTAAGCTAAATCTCCTGGCAGAGCAGAACAGTTGATGGTCGGGGAAAAAAAAGGAAAAATAGCAACTTACCAAACCAGGCAAGTTGGATGACTCGCATGCCAGATAAGGAGTGAGTCGGCGGGGAGGGGAGGGGAGGGGCCAGCCAGTGGAGCAATTTGCTGGTTCTCTGAACTGGGGACAATCCTGTGTGCAGCATTTGCAAGAAATCATCAGCTGTGCCCCCTGGACAGCTGACAAGTGCTGCACTCGGATGCACAGCGTTTGAAAATCCTTTTCTTTCCTGCTTTTTTCAATCTCAGCTGTGCCGCGCAAAGCAGCTGAGGAGGGAAAAGAACAGAATAAAGGACAGCCTAGAGCCTGGGCAGGTAGGTGGGCCAAACACAGAACCGGTTCGGTGTCAGCTGCTCTTCGCAGCTACCGGTTCTATAGAACCGGGCCGAACCAGTAGCATCCCACCCCTGCTCCTAGTCACCAGGCCTCAGATAATATCATACAAAATATCATTGATTCATCATCAAGGCAGTGCTGATATGGAAGGGTCCATAGTTCCATGGCAGAAGTTGAAGCAGATGAAATCCTGGAGTCTCCAGGTAAGACTAGATAAGATTCCTCTCTCAAAATCCTGCAAAAAGATTAGGCCTTAACTCTAAACTAGTACAGGTAGTCCTCGACTTGTAATGGTTCATTTAGTGACCATTCAAAGTTACAACAGCACTGAAAAGAGTGTTTTTCACACTTACAAATGTTGCAGCATCCCCTTGGTCACGTGATCAAAACTAAAATGCTTGGCAACTGGTTCCTATTTATGGTGGTCGCAGTGTCCCAGGGTCATGTGATCCCCTTTTGCAACTTTCTGACAAGCAAGACCAATGGGGAGCCAGATGCACTTAACCCCCATGTTACTAACTTAACAATTTCATTGATTCACTTAACAACGGTGGCAAGAAAGATCATAAAGTGGGGCAAAACTCACTTAGCAAATGTCTCGCTTCACAACATAAATTTTGGGCTCAATTGTGGTCGAGGACTACCTGTATGTCTAAAGACCTACGGATATACTGATAGCTACCTCAGGAGAGCTTTGAAAAAAGCATCTGTTAAGTTCTCCCGAAAGAGTTCTCTTTTCTGAGTTCTCCATCTAACCATTTTTGACTCTGCCAATTCTTGAAGAGAACTGTTTTCCATTTTCTTTTTTAGGCCCTTAACCTGAAAGCAGGGCAAGCAAACAAATCTTCTCAACTTACCTATGGACGTAGTTGTTGCGATGAAGATGCAGCAGGCCACAGGAAACCTCGCAGGCCATGCGTTGCAATGTCAAGGGATCTGGTGCCAGAGCCTCTGCAGCATGGCAGCTTCGTAGGTAGCCCTTCAGGTCACCCTGTTGGGAGTGGCAGCAGCATTAGCCACAACCACAACGGCCTCAAGATCTCTCTGTGAGGTGTGAGTGGTTGAAAAAGAATAAGGGGAATGAGGAGAAGCAATTCTGCAATGTGGTCAAAAATAATAATAATGGGACCACGGTGGATCAGATTTGTCCCCCTCAAGACGGAGGTTTTTTTTTAAGAATTCCTAGCCACCTTGGAATTCTGCATATCTGGGCAGACAGAAGAAAGCCTCCTGTTTCAGTTCCATAGGTAAAAGAGGGGCATCTCTCCACCTGTTGTTAACAAGCCAAAGTAGCTCATTGCAGAGAGAATGAAAAGGTGCACTTCTGTAAACTCGAAACATACCTGCTGAAGCAACGGTTTCAGATGACCCCAGCAAGAGTCAGGAGAACAAGACAACTCAACCAAAGGAACAGCTCTTTCACCAACCGCACTTTTGTCCTTCTCCTGTCCCAAAGCTGAAGGGAAGAGGGGAAATTGGTATTTTCCCCTCCATTTAATGGACTTACCAATGGGCAAAATTCCATCACCAGCAGATAGGGGGTCACCTCCGCACACTGAGCCAAGCACTGCAGGAGATTGGTATGCTGGAGTGCCCTGGGCAGAAAGGTAAGAGGTGCAGGTGAGACTGGAAGGAAATAAGCAAGCGGCAGAGTCTAGAGCCACATAAGAGAAGGCTTGGGAAAATTTGCAGACCTGGCAGGGGATTTGGTTCATGGTGGGTTGAGGTGTATCAGCAGTATAGAATGAGAGAAATCAAAGGGCTACAGTAGTGAGGCAACAGCTAAAGACCAAGCAAGGAGCAGGGTGATCATAGCCAGGAAGCAGTACACTAGGCTTACAGGTGACACCTCAACTAGGTTAGATGAAAAAGGATTTTGTTCGAAGGTGCTCCTTTTCTCTTTCAAGCAACTTTCACACCAGTTTATATAAGGACAGGGAAGGGTTCCTATGATGCAACTACAAACTGGCACTGAATAAATGGGTCCTAAGCGGTGCCAGCTATCTCATAAACAATAAGGACTGTTTGTTCATGAGTCAGTAAAGTAATTCATTGCTCCCCCAGCACTCTCCCTCCCCTTCGGTGTATCTTGGTCAGATACTCTGGATTCAACAAGAAATTTCTTTGCTACTCCAGGATTTATACTGAGAGAGAAGATGTAATACTGAGTAAGCTACCTCGATATTTCAGAAGCTAAAATAGGACCAACCCTAGTTAGCCTTTAGTTAGCACCTAGGAAGCACCTGTAGGTTTGATTAGCAAGTAGAAAGAACCATCCTGAAGAAAGACAGTAGCAAACTACATTTTGTAAAACTTCCATAAAAACATCTTGGATGTATCATCAAGAGTGAAGCTCAATTCAAGGATACCTTTATTTTCAATCTTATCTCTAGCTTTACTTTAAGGATTACAAGCATGTAGTTCCTCTCATAACTTCTCAATATCATTTATTTGAGGGAGGGACACCATAAAAGATCCAAAATTTTAAAGTCCTCAAACCTTGCAAGATTTTGATAATCTTAACTGAAGTGTCATAATATATTGGGTAAGAAGGCTGGAATGAGCCTGTTCTCAAAGTAATACAAAAATCTTATATTTGGGTCATTATTTTTTTAAAAAAACTTAACACTTGCATTTTATTTTATTTTATTTTATTAAGAGTATGAGTCCTACATTCAGGAATTTCTGAAGTTGAGCAATCTCTCTTTTACTCCTTTGCCAGTGTCAGACCAAATTACAGATGGTCTTAAAGTTGCTTCTTGATACTGATGCTTTGATCTAGAGATATTTTCATCACCATCTCTTATGATCCAACCCTGTTCTGTCAACATAGGAAAGCTGATAGTTTCTATTCACATAAGCCTTATGTTTCCATACCTCATACACAGATCCTGGCTGGAACTGTAACAGCCACAAATAAAAGAACAATTCTAGCAGTAGTATGCTCACAGGTGCAGCTCCACAGAAATTTTGTCAGAATGCTGAGGAAATCTAGATAGCCCATAGCCTGCTACTGAAAGGCGTGAGAGAACCTACCTGTAAGGTTGTGCCTCTTCCAAGAACTGCATTTGATCCTGCACGCTGGCACTGGCCTTAAGCTCCTTCACCACCACCTGAGTACTGCTCAACCCTGCATTTACCTCACCAAGGAACACCTAAAATGAAAGAGAGAAAGTGATAGGCATCATGGTCTGGGATCTTGCACTTCTGATTTAGGATGATAATGACTTTATGAGCTAGGGAGGGCCACGATAATTGTCATGTAAAATTGTATTAATAGATCAATATCCTCTTAAGTAGCCACCAGAGAGCCATCATGAAATTTACTGCAGCTTGATAATCCAGCAAGAATAAGGAATTTGCTAACCCTTCTCGCCCTTAGTTTTTCACGTATGAACATTCTTAAACAATACTGGGAAACTTTCAAGCATAAGAACATTAGTCATCCACGGTACCAAGCCAATGTTTTGATCAGTAGTTTTCCAATGTGTGACTTAATGTTCCACTAGCAATCACAACCCAAGCTTTTTGCAAAAGCACAAGTTCACTCAGCAACTACAGTGATTCAGGACAAATTAGCATGAATTATCTTTATAAGTTGGCTTTTAAGTTTTTTATGTTCCACATAACAATTTAATTCACGTATTTACTTTGTGATATTTACTCCACTGTCTAGCTCTCAACTATTTTTCAGGTTATAATACCCCATAAAAGAGTCATTTGGTTTCTATGTCCTACCCATCACCTCTCTCTGCACACGAATTCTTGTTTACCCTGCTGTTAGGCTCCAGGGTCTTAAAGCGACTTTGCTATCAGTTCTTCAGCTGGCTTTCTGTGGAAATTTAATGGAAAACCAGGTGAACTTTCTGTGACACCCAAATAGGAGGCAACAGAAATAAATACAGGAAAAATCAGAGCTCCTGCATGGGGTCTATGGGAAGTGCCAGATCTAATCTAGTAGTTGCAGAGTTATCCTTACTTTTGAACCTCTGCCTCTCCTCTTTTGCCAATTTCCCCTCAACAATAGCACACTTTTGTTCTTTCCACTCACTTGCTCACTTTAGTGTACTAGGAGCTAATGCAGAATTGACATTTCAATTTTTAATCCTGTAAGCTAATATATATTGTTCCACAGTCTCGCTCCTCTGCTGCCAAAAGCACTACTCCAAGGGACAGGACCTATGCCTAAGAATAAAACCGACTCTATTCTTTCAACTTACTAAATCCACTCCCCTTGGCCTTGGTTCTTTCTCTGTGTCCCCACTCTTTCTTCCCATCCTTCCTGTGTTAATTGAAGATTGGTGATCAGCCCAGCTTACCTTGCCAAACCATCCATGGCCAATTTCTTTGAGGTATAGCAGGCTGTGACGTCCCAGGTCAGTGGACTTGAGCAACTGCACTGTGAAGGAACACATAGAGCAGTCTGAATTTCTGCACTCTCTTTCTGATCAGTTGGTCTCTGTTCCGCCTTGACCCCATGCTGTCTCATCCTAGCTTTCTGCAGAAGAAGAGGCCTGGGACAACAGCTGCATGCAGGTACAGATACAGGAAAATCCTCAGAGAAAAATGGAGATATCAACTTCTGGAACCGGGTTCATTGCAATTCTTTGCTACGCTGGCAGAGTCAAGTTGGGGCCGAAGAATTCTTCCCAAGCGCAGGAAGAAAACAAGGAGCTTTCTGCTACAGTCAGATGTCTGCCTAAGCTCCCAGGCATTTAGAAAGCATCTGTTCAGGGTCTACTCAAACAGGCTCTCCCATGTCCCAAATGCAGCAATGCCACCCTTCATTCCCTCAGTGCCAGACACCACTGTTTCCATCACACTGAGAAGCAAAGGCTTTATTGTTGTCCCCGGCAGTGGTGGCTCGAACTTAAAACATTGAATCCATTCTTTATGGGGTCCGTTTGGATCACACAATGCTCCACTGGGCTACAGAGTGTGGGCAGAGCAGAGCGGAGCCATCGCATGGCTAAGTGGCTCGTCCCTCTCCCTCCTACCCAGAGGGACACGTCTCGGATTCCTCAGTTGCTTCACATGGGAAGGAATGCAGGGCCCGTGGGATCTGGGATCAAAAAGGCCTTTGTCTCCGATGTTCGTGAGGGAGAGAAAACCTTCAGGCAGGACAAGCAGCAGCCTCTGCTGAGATGAAAAGATCAAGGGCAAATGCCTCATCGGGAAGCCTGTTCCGCTACCTCTTGTTTTTGCCTGCTGCCAGGCTAGCTAATGGAAGGACTTGGCTGCACAGGCGCCTGTTCTCCAGGTCTATGCAACAGGGGGAAGGTGCCCTACAACTTCTCATGTCCCCTAAATCAGAATGCCTTGCCACATTGAGCCCACAAGGTGGCATTGGCAACTCACGCTACCGCATACGTATGTGTGGAAACCAGAATAATCCAGAAGATACTAGTTAAGGGGGGAGAGAGGGAGAGGAGAAAATTTGGAATATCACCACAGATATGCTGTGCGGCAATAGGTAATTACAAAGTTCTAGCACCCAGAAATTAGAGCAGCAGGCGCTTATTGAAGAAAGGACTGCCATTACTAGCTCTCCTCTTCTGTTTATACCTGGCACTAAAATGACTAAAGCAAGATTTGGGATCTCTTGCTTTAGGGGCAATCCACAGGATTTTGAAGTAAAAGGTGAGGAAGGAGGAATGCATGGCCTCCCCTCTAGGCTATCCAATGGAAATATGCAACCCAGGCAGCAAATACATCATCCTTAGATGTGAGAAGATGTGTGACAAAGCATGACTACAACATTCAGAGGAATGGGACTCAAGAACCAAGCCATCATTAGGTGCTGTAAACAAATGGACGGGGGAAATACGCTAGAGAAAAATCCTTCTTCTCCTCAACTGTTTCCAATGGCAACAAAGCATTGACATCACAGGACAGAGGTGGGCCTATGGGAACTGAATTCCATGATTAAAAGGGGATTTGATCCACCTCAACATATTCTCTATCAAGCAGCTGCAAGTGGGTTGTGGGGGAATCCAGCCAAGCTCATGTATTTCCTTGACAAAGGTGGGTGGGGAGATATGAAGCCTGGAGACTTGCCGTACACAAAAAAAGATGTCTGAGGCCAAAAGGACAGAAGACATCTAAGCAGTTATCTGCAGAACAGGATCTTGGGAGAATAAACCAAGAGTGTTGGACACATACCATTATGAGGCCTAGTGTAAGGCCCTCTTACTTTAGCTCATTGCAGGCAATTCTTGTAACATTAGCTATAATTCCCTCTACTGAATTAATAACTCTGAACAGAGGTTGGGGGTGTATATAAAACATATCAAGCAATATTTCATGGTAAAAGCTTTCATTTTACACAGAATGTCTGATTTTCTGGTGAAATATTCTACATAACTCAAAAGCTTCTACCTCACTATAGCAGCTATCACCAACCTGGCCACACTCCAAATGTAATGGACTTCAGCTTTCAGGATTTTTGGCCATGGTCATGCAGGCTACAGGATTCTGAGAATTGAAATCCACACATCTGGAGAGCTTTCTGACCAAAGGAGGCTTTATTATTTCAGCCCCATAGCCTATAGCAATGAAATATTAAACTAAAAAGCAGAACATTGCAGGGGTGGGGGAGTACATTATGTTAACTCAAAACTGACACACCCAACAAAATTAGTATGGTGGCATTAAAGGTATTTTGTAAAGAAAAGACTTCCATTAAAAAAGGTTTTAAGAAGACACTTCAAGCACTGGGGTTTGTGAGATCAAAATAAAATCTGTGTTTTACAAGGTAGAAAGATCACTACATAAAAAATACATAACATATTCAGAGCAAAGCCTGAAGATGGGTGGGGATATCCTTATTGTCTTTTTTGCTCTTTTCCATTCTCCTTAGCAACATGGATATTCTAAACATTTATTATTGTGTATAGCTGTCACTGGGAGTCAAGACTGATGGAGAAGGGGAGGAGAAGGAAGAAGAAGGAGGAGGAGAAGGAGAAGGAGAAGAAGCAGCAGCCTGTGAATGAGCTTGTACTCTCTAAATGCATCTGAGTTACATTCCTAGGATGTCCAGTCAATCTCTGAGACCTCTGTGAATTTAGTCCCCATATAAATGGAGGATGTAAAGTGTAGACACTCTGGGTCATTCTGTGCAGCACCAAAATGGCATATTTTATCTATTTATTTGTATGCAGCTCTTAATAGTACAGAGGATCTAATACCGTAGTGCCATTCCTATTATGTCCCCCACTCCATCCCACTGTTCGATGCCATCTTTTTCTATGAAAGGATATGTACCATTACCGAAGGAACATATTAAGAATGTGCAGTGGGATAACTATGCCGATCTTTGGTAGAAGAAAAAAAATTTTTTTAAAAAAAAAAGTCTAAGATGTTTATTGTGATAGAAATACTTGGTGGGATGGATTCTACGCTACAAAAGTGTGTATCTTTAAAATGGTTGTAAGTATTCCAAGTCCTAAAGAGCATTGAGCTGATTGGGTACAAAAATGCTGCCTTCCCACTTCTTTTTTAATCAACTTGAATCTGCATGAGTAATGGACTGTGAGAATAACTTTGATGAAGAGGAGTAAGACAAGAGAACAGCCAAGACCATGATGAGAAATCTGAAGCCACAGCAGGAATGGAATTAGAGAAAACATGTCAGACTTGTTCTCTTTGGGAGAAAGGCAGGGAAGGGGAGGCACATTCAGCGTTGCAAGATTCTGCTACTGTGACCCTATAATAAAAACAGTTTTAATATTCATGACTTTGCCATTCATGTTTGGCCTATCTCTAGAGCTGCTATTTGTATGCGCACTTCCCCTTCTTCAAGGTTATTCTCACAGTTCGTTACAGCATAATAACAATAATTAAAGGGAAGATTTCTTCCGATAGTTGTGGAAAATTGGGCCCCTTGTTTCTCTTTTAGAAGCACAAAATCTAGGTGATAATTCCAAGATTGTCAGCAACAGAAGAATTCAAAGTTTTACTGACTCTCTTTCCCAAACAGATGCTACCCAGGTGTTACTTCTCTCTAAAATGGGAATCTCCGGATTTGTGGGACTTGCTGAGCATGAATTCTGGAACCTAGGGAATTGTAGCTCTGCACATCTGGACAGCATTAATTTGTCAATGCTTCTGTACACACAAAGCATGCAAATCACTGCTGCAACTATCTACGGGGGAGGGGGGGATGTTTAATGAAGTAAGCTTAATGCTTCACTAGATTACCTGAGCGCCCAGGTTGCCTAGACATTGGCAAAGATACTTCGGTGAGAGGCAGAATATAAACTTCAGGGCCATTCTGCGTGGCTGGTGAGCCTTGAGCTGAGAATTCACTAGGATATTCCTCCCCGTCAGCATTACTGAATTCCTGGGGCAAAAAAAGATAAGGAGAATAAAAGTACAGAATGGGGCAATAGAACAATGTTAAGAATGGGGGAGAGGAAAAGGCTTGAGACATGCATTTGGTCATCTCTAGACACATAATCCTCCTCTCGATGGAAGGATTATGGCAATAAAGCATGCAAAGCAACTTTGACTCATTCAAGCAGCCTTCCCCAACCTGCGGCATTCCAGTTGTTGGATTGCAATCCCTAAAACTCCCAGCTATTTCAATAGTAATTGGGAACTGGGGAAGTTGTGGAGCAAACATCAGGAAGGATTGGACTGATAAAGGCTGCTTTGAAATATCATCTTCACTACCACCAGCAGTTATGTTTTCATACACAGATGACCTTTTATAGATATTCCACAGCAATACACAAATAAGAAAAGGACTGTAGCTCAGCGACACAGCACAAATTCTGCCATGCAAAGAACCCCTGACTCAGTGCTTGCTATCTGCAGAGGAAGCTGGGGATGACCCTTTGCCTGAAATATTGATTTAATCCCAAACCATATGGACCAATGCATGGAAATTTACTCCGTTCTTAAATACACATGAAAAGGTGCAAAGAACTCATGTCCATTCTTTCGGACAGGTAACCCACGTGTGAATAATCACACTGAAGGGAAAGAAAAACAATGTCACTTCACTGCCATACAGCACTAGCAGAGAAATCTGTGCACGCACCGCTGTGTTACACACTTGTGAGAAGAACTGAATCTACAGTCCTCACATGTGGACTAGTGTAACAGCGTTGTAGCTGTCCTATTTTTCTCCCATAATATGGTTTTCCCATCACAGACTGGGAAAAGAGCCCAATGGACAGATACACCTCAGTCAGTCCTACTACGTGGATCGAGCTGCTTGAAATGGAATTGTAGAAGATGTGAAGCGAAGCCGAATCCCACGCACACGTCGGCCAGGCTAAGGATCACGACCGCGACCTAAAGGCTCCGTGCACTACTTCATCGCTCCCTGGGGGAGGCGGGGAGAAGGGAACCATGTGGAGAGCTGATTCACACAAAGAGTTTCCCATCTGTGCAATTCCATTTCGGAAAACCACCTCCAGGGCAGGAGGAGCTAGGCAAACCATGACAGAGGCACACGAAGTATAATACCATCACTCTTTCCCATCCAGCTACAAACATGCCCCGTCACAACTGGGGGGTAACAGAGACAGCCGTGCACTCAGTCACTCTTTTTTCTTCTTCTTCTTCTTCTTCTTCTTTTTTTTTTTTTTAAAAAAAATCTTTCCACCCACAGATCTATGCATGTGGGGGAATGCAGTGCAGGGGTTGGGGCGAAGCCCAAGGCGATAAGATTCAGATGTATTTCATGACAGCCAATTTTAAATTTGCTCCGAAAGAAAAAAAAGATGCTCCGTGGAGACAAAGGTTTGAAAGAGAGGACGAAAGCAAAATAAAGACAGCGTTCCCTGCCCAGACTCTCTGCAGGTCCACGGGGCAAGGTCATAGCCAGGGCTATTGCTTCCGGCCCTTGACCCAGCCTCACCTTTGCATGGAGAAGTAGGCCGACTTCAAGGGATCCAAATGCAGAGCAACAACAACCCATCTAGTAGCCTTCTCAGTGTGGTCAGCGGCGGCTGCTCTGCTCCCTACCCCCTACCCCCCCCCCCCAGTGAAAGACAGAGTCATAAGCACAGTTGTGGGAAGAAGCAGCCTCACCTTGGTCAGGGGGCAGGGGGAGGGCTGCCCAGGGTTCCCCAGTTCTACATTACAGGCTGTTTTGGGCACTGTGCTGGCCCCCGTGCAGGGCAGACACCTCAAAACCATCCTCAGCCTCTTCTCCCGGGATTCGCTTCTCCAGCTCTAGGCAAGAGTGCCCAGAGAAAGAGTGTTAATAGGTGCAACACCCCTTGGTGCTCTGCTCCCCTCACTGCTGCCCGCGGAGTTCCAGGCACCCCCATCAACCCTGCCCCATCCCTCATCCATCCGCCCCCCTGCCCATCCCTGCCTAAGACTTCGCCTTCTTCACTCTCCTTCAGGCCTTCTGCAGAGTGGAGACCAGTAGCTTCTTCTCGTTACCTGGATGAACTTTTTCCTACTGAAGGTTGCCCCAGCAATCAGGTAGGAAAGGGTGAGCATTCCCGGGGAGCATCTTAAGCTTGGATACCCTTGAGCTGCCGTCTTTCTGAGGCTGTTCCAAAGAGGAAAGCGCAGAGCCCACTCACAAACTTGTTTTGTGCCCCTATATAGTCAGTGTGGGAGGATTCTGAAGTGGTTCATTGTTCCCACTGTGGAACCTGGCGACCTCTATAAACTGTGACTGCACAGAGCTGTCTATCACTCCACTCTGAACACTCCTCCTCCTCCTCCGTGGCTGGCCAAGAACCTCCACAAGAATGCCAGCAATGGGGGCAGCATTTTCCAGCACATTCTGTGCCTCTGAAATCACATCGCTGCCCACTTCCTTTGGGTCTTTCTAGAGCAGCCTACTACACTTGGGAGATGCTTGCCAAACTGGGAGGTACTTAAGCAACAAGTCCTTGTATCTTTAAACTTAAAATAAGAATTACTTAACTTAAAAGATTTTTTTTTCTAAGGACTAAAAGGCAAGTACTCAGATAAGAAGGGACAGAGAATTACTCCTGGGTCATAACATTAGGCTCTTGTCTCTCTGCTGAGCAATATGTAACACAATATGCACAAATCACAGATGAAGTCAACAGAACACACAAACCCATTCTGTGACTAACAGAAGGAGGGGGAGCTTTCTTTTTAAGAGCCCTTTTCCTGCAAGAGAAGCAATTGAAATAGATCACAGGCAGGAGATCCCAAAGGTGCTTTTTCCAACAGGTAACTGGACTTTTTCTTTTCCTTGGAAAATGTTGAGAAGCTAAATGTTTTCAAAGGAAAATAAAAACAAGGAAGTTCCATTGCCTTTTGGAAAACCACAACCTAGATGATTGAGAATCTCCATAAACATCACAGGCAGGAAACTTTGAGCATCATCTCTTTGATGGAACTGCATCCAGTTATCACTCTCAAGAATTCCCCTTTGCTCACGGGTGGGATATGACCGGTTTAACTACCGGTTCGGGATTTACCAGCTTCCCTGCACACTGTGAGCCACGCACCTGTAAATCGTCATCAGCATGCTGTGTGCAGAGACGCAGCCTTTGAAACAGCCCTCTTTTCCTGCTTTTTTAACTGCAGCTGTGCCTTGTTCCGCAGCTGAAGTTGAAAAATCAGGAAATAAAGATCAGGTAAGAGCCCAGGTGGGTGGGTAGGCAAAAATAGCAGCAGACATAGAACCGGTCCTATGTCTGCTTCTCTTCAGAGCTACCAGTTCTACAGAGTGGACAGAACAGGTAGAAACCCACCCCTGCCTTTGCTATGTCAAGTCGATCTTTTAACTCTTTCCTCCTCTCTACATTTCTCTACTGATGCCTCTTCACTTTATTTTTTCCAGGACTCCCATCTGCACCTCATGATACAGTGCAACCCCAGGAAGTTGCTTTCCCTAAAAGTCTGTAAACTTTTCATGAACCAGGCCTCCCACACTCACTCCATAGTGGAAGAGACCTTTAAACCCACACAAGAGCAGGACTAGAAAGGTACCTGCATAACTGACCCAAACTGTTCAATGTACAATAAATAAAGTGTCTCTATAAAAACCATGTTCCTGGATGCCAAAGCCAGGCCTAAGCCTCTATACAACATTTCAGAAAGAGTGAAAATGCATCTTGCATTCACACGACGTTTTTGTCCCACTATGCTTCTGTAGGGAGAAACTGGGAACTCATGTACACTTCGGTATCTTCTGCTAAGCAAGATGAAGTAGCAGATCACAGGAAGGATTTTCCTCTGCGCGAAATCCATGAGGAATGCTGTCGATCGCACCTAGATGTGCAAGAATCTGACCTGGACAAGATGGTTCCTTATGCTCCCATTCATCTGCTTCTGCCTCTGGCTTGCAAAAGTTCATTAGGCCGTTTTTTTATTTCTGTCACACTGCCAGACAGCCATCCCCTGTTGTGCTCAGAGGGTTGCTTTTCAGCAAGCCCCTGCCACAAGGCTTTAGTCTGATGTCCCAGCCCACACCTCCTCCATACCCAACTGAATGCCCTCCTGCCGCAACCCCCTGCTGCTGAGATTGCTTGACTCATGCTTCTCGTGTCTGACACATAAAATGCACCACGTCATTCCTCTGACTCTTAAATTTCTCTCTGTTCTTTATATTCCAGGCCGGGCCACACTGTTTCTTCAGGACTATTCTGATTAGGAACTTAATGGCAAAAGCAGGTTCTGGTTTTGTCTTCACATTGAACATTGTTTCCTCCTCCTTGCAAAAAAACAGGGCATGTTATTGTAACCTTCCCCAGCCTGGTGGCTTTTAGATTAACTGGATGACAAACCCCAGAGATCCCAGCTATGCATCCAGAAGCCACCAGGATGGCAAAAGCTGGGTTAATGTCATGGGCTTGGCCGAAGGCTTTGTCTTATGCACCGCTATGCCATAGGCAGCCAGAGAGATTCGGCCCTCCCCTCTGAACTTACCTTGAAGCCAATGCCCCCTTTCTTGCAGCACAGACAGGCCAACATGAGGAAGATGAAGGTGAAGAGTCCTGAGAAGGAAACGGCCACCACCACCAGAGAGGAAGACCAGGAGAGCTCACTCAAGGGAGTGCCATCTGTAGGGAGATAAGCAAGTGGGAGAAGATGAGAAAGGAAGGTTCAGGAAAGATGGATGGGAGGAGGACCAAATATTTGCAAATCAAAGCCAGAGATAATGCAGCTGGGACAGAGGCCGGCAGGAGGCCTCTAGTCTAGATCTTGCACAGCTTCAGTTCCTTTTCTTGCAGACTCAAAGCCAAGTTCGGGGATCAGATTCCCTTTTGCTGTATCCCTGCTCTCTCACACCCGCTTGTCTCTAATGAATTCACTTATCCTTCGAATCTTACCAGCAAGAAAAGGAATGGTGCTGTTCTGTTCTCCCAACTGCTCTCCTACCAGGTCCCAGAAATGGGTTAGTTTAGATCCAGAGAAGAAGCTAAGACCCAACCTGGCTTTTCCATCTATGAAGAGAATCAGGCTTGTCAACGATCTCATGATCTCCCAGCTTGGATAGGCAGGGAATTTCTGCAAGACAGAAATCCTGCCCTACCATGTGGTTTTATCCATGCAGCAGTAATCATGGATACTGATGACTTAACCCTCTCAGGTCACCGAGTAACCTTATCTCCCACTTCCCATAGCTCTGATGATTCCCGTCTGCACTTCCCTGATTTGTAATTGTGATGTGTATAATAGGTACAGCCTAGGTATACACAGCCTGAATACACAGTGAGTCCGATGCCCATCGTTTTGTCAATATGCACATTGCTAAAAAGCAACACATTCAGAAAACACAGAGGGCAAATTTCTTTCTTTCTTTCTTTCTTTTTTTGCCAGCCAACTGGCTGACTAATTGAACAATGGCTTTGAACAAAGGCCCCACTTCGGGAGAAAAAAAAAGTCGTTCCCGTTAAATCTCCTGAAACATGATTTTTTGGGGGAGAAAATTGCAGATTTCCAAAGGAGGAAAAAATGGATGCACATGCTCTGTCACTATGCCCATTTCTTTTACAGAAGGACATGCATCCTGGCTTTCAAAAGACCAAAGAGGAGATGAGAAAACAGAGAAGATAAAAATTAACCTCACAGCATGGGAAAAAGGGAAGGTCAGTAAGCAGCAGAAAGATTAAAGGCAGCCCAATCACAGTGTCCAGAAAGCTTTGTAAGGCAAAATAATTAATCTGGCATTTAAAGTAATTGATATAGTGCCAAGAAAATGATTGAACTGGTTGCTCCATGAGTTGATAAATAAGTCCACTGGATGTTAGGAAAACATGGGTGGGGTGTCATTATAGCATGTTTAAATGGGAGGATGAAGGATATAGTGTAAATGAAAACTTTTCACAGGCTTTAGGCATAATTAGACAATATGGTTGGTGCTACAACACATGAGCAATCATAAATGTTTGTGCTCTAACTTAATTCCACATATACGAAAAATATGAACCCTTCTTGTGACAGCACTACCATAGTAATGAACATCTCTTGCCGCCTTGCTTATCCTCAGTGGTGGAATTTTAACTTTTCTGCAAGAAAGCATCCTTGCTTCTGTCAGCCAAGGGAGAGGCCCAGGGGCATTAGAATAACATGCCATGGCTGGCACTCTTCCTTCTGAGGCCAGAAACTGGCAACTCATTTCCATATAGCTATTTGTAATACAGCAGATGCATTAGAAATCTGCTGCTATGGTCTCTGATAGTTCTTTGCCATAGACAGGAAAAATATAAAATTATTCCACAAAGTCAACACAAAGTTGTGTTTAAGGCGCTAATCTTGCAAAATATTTACTCTGTACACACAGAGAGAAAGAAGGGCACATGCATTTTGAACTGGAAAATATTTAGATGTCCAGGCCACAAGGAAACTGAGATTCTTCTGGCCCATTGTTTAGGTGGGGTCTCCCAGTTAGGAACTAAAAATCGCCCCTGTGATTGGATGAAGGGAACAATTGCAGCAGGGTGGTTTTCCTCCCTTATCCCTAATTTATGGCCCACTGGGATAATTTAATTTTAATAGATGGCTCTAATTTAGCTCTAGCAAGTATCAAGCCCCTCTGAAGCCTTGCAGCTGCTCTTTCAAGGGAGGTCAACTCAGGGGTAAATTAATGACACAAAAGACACGCATGCTGAGTGGGAAGTGACAGCACAGCTGGAAATGTCTGAAACAGCAGGCTGTTTTTGAAGGGGACATCCCAGAAACTAGGTCCATGATTCAGAGAAGAAAGGAATACCAATTGACTAACCTAATGTAAAACTGATTGTTCTAATAGGCAGGACAAAGAGTACAAAGTCATTAGTTGAATGGAACAGAGAGAAAGAGAGTCACTTATCTCTGCCTGACCTCACTGATGATCGCTATAGTTTTACAGGCCCGGCTGTAAGAGATTGTAGCCCTTTAAAATGGAGGAGTTAGGATTGAGGTTTAGTTATATTATATAATTATATGGTTCACTGCATTTGGAAAACCAGCATTATCAGGAAAAAGCAATAACAGTATCCCACCCTTGTAGTCCCTTCCTGACAATTGTTCAGTGAGATGTTGTACCCCAGGTTCTTCTGAATATGTAGGGAAGCAGCTCAGAACAAGAGAACATCAATACCGTTCTAATGTCTGAACAGGTAGTCCTTGTGACTCATTTTGCGGTTATAACGCCAATGAAAAAAATAACTTTACAATCAATCCTCACATTTACAACCTTCAGAGGTTTGTAAAGCAAAGGAAAGTTGAAGATCATAATAGCAATCACTTAGTGATTGTTTCACTTAATAATTGAGCTGCCAGACCCTATTGTGGTCATTAAATAAGCAACACCTGTAGTAGAAAAAAAATAAACAAAATGGGGACTGCATCCCTTTCCCACCCCATCTTTTAAATATGACAGGCCAAAGCAATTTATTTTCTTTGCCTAATCCCATCAGACCCAAATTAATCCTTCCTGCTCCAGAGAAAGCCGCCCCCCACAATTCAATCTAAACCAAAGAGCCCGATCCTTACAAGGGAATTGCAAGCTAGAGTACTCCCAAACCCCATCCCATCCTCAATCAGTTGAAGACCTCAACATCCCGTCTCCTTCACAATGAATTGCCTCAGCTCTGCTTCCTCTTGAAATGCCCGATTTGCCTAACAGTAGAATTCACCCCAGCTACTCCCAATCAACAAAGGACCTGCCTATCTTTCCCAAACCAACCAGTCAATGAGATCCCTATGATTTCCTACCTCAGAATCCTAAACTGCTACTGTACAAAAATATTTGATCGTCCAATGTTCCGTTTGTTAAGTGTCCATTTCTTAATAAAGCCATCACCAATGGTTGCAAAAAAAAAATGTTTTTTTTTCCTCCTCAGTTATGTCTTCTTTAAGTCCACAAATTCAGCAAGAATTTATACCGGTACTTTCCACCTTGCAGCTTTACTCATTACATCTCCCACTTGAGCGATCCTGTAGCATCTGTATTAAGACCGCCCTTTGCTGCCCTCCATTTCCAAATTTCTTTCCTCCCTGCTCTTTCTACCCGTCTCAGTTCTTTCTGCTGAATTTGCTTAGATTAAAGCAGGGTCTCTTGAGCAATGTTCCTATCTGTATTTTAAAAAATAGATTCTTACTTTCAGCGCTTACATCTTATGCAAGAGGCTCTTCTGCTTTGCTTTTCCTCTTTTTAAAACCAAAATGCAACTGGGAGAGGAAGGCAATTTGTTCAGTGGGAAAGGGGAATGAATTGTTTTTCTGCATATTGTTTTCTTGATTAATATTGGCCTCTACCAGATGCAATATTTTTTTTCAGAAATTCAGAGTTTCAGAAATCAATATCAGCAATATCAGCAACATTTATTCAGCACAAAGGATTCAGCTGTTTCAATGAAGTGAGTAAAAAGGTCCCAGTAGACAGAAGATGGATGCTAAACAAGGAGATCCTAAAAGAAAAAGAATGTGTCAAGATGATGGAAAAAGAATTGGAGTTCTTTCTGAAGGAAAACAAAAAACAACAAACATCAATTCCAAACCTATGGGACACGACTAAAGCATATATTAGGGGCCTAGCAATTTCACATAATACATGTAGATACAAGGGGAAAAAGGAGAACAATCTAAACTACTAGCTACTCTTAAGGAGTTAGAAAAAACACTAGAAAAAACACCACATAATAAGACAGCAAATACGGAGAGGATAATGATTAGACATAAATTGAACATGTAAGCACAAGATGAATGGTTACAGGACATGAAAAAGATAAAACAGAATTACTTTGAACATGCGAATAAGCCGAGAAGGTGGCTAGCTTATAGATTTAAGAAAGAAAAAGAAAAAAGAGCAATCCAACAATTGAAGGATGCTGATGGTACACTACAACATCAAACTGAAAAGAAAAAACATATTGTTAAAAGTTTTTTTGAGGAACTGTATAGTAGGGAAGACGTACCAGAGGGAAATATCCAACATTACTTAGAAGGAAAAGGACTACCTGTGATCCCGGAAGAGGATAAAGAAGAGATATACAGGGAAATAACATTAAGAGAACTGCAAGAGGCAATCCTGAAAGAGAAAAACAATAAGACACTAGGACCGGATGGTCTCCCTGGAGAACTGTATAAAACGCTGCAAGGAAAATTAGAAATGCAATTCTTAGAACTCTATAATGAGGTACTGATGACAGCAAAATTACCTAAGTCATGTGGGGAGACATATATAACATTGATCCCAAAAGAAGATTCGGACCATCAATTAATTCAAAATTACAGGCCTATATCCCTTTTAAATGTTGATTATAAAATATTTATGTCCATAATGGCAGAAAGAGTGAAAAAAAAATGTTAATCAGATCATTCAAAGTGACCAAAATAGATTCTTACCTAATAGACAAATTAAAAATAATACTAGAATGGTATTGAATATAATAGAATATTATGAAGCAAACCCAGGAAAACAATTGGCAATGGTCTTCTTTGATGCACAAAAGGCATTTGACAATGTTAATTGACAGTTTATAATACAACAATTAAAAAGCATGCAATTTGGCAATAAATTTATTAAACTGATTTTGACAATTTATACGACACAGACAGCCAGTGTAATAATGAA